GCCCTTAGTGCATGGGGGCTGATGCCTAGAGCCATGGACACACTTGTCCATTGTGCTTTCTCTCATTCTCTCTCGTTCTCTCTATCTCTCTCTCTCTCTCTCTCTCTCTCTCTCTCTCTCTCTCTCTCTCTCTCTCTCTCTCTCCCTCTCCCTCTCTCTTTCATGCTCTCTCTTACTCGTAGTGCATGGGGGCTGGTGCTTAGAACCTTGGACATGCGTGCCCACCATGTTTTATCTCGTTCTTTCTCTCTCTCTCTCTCTCTCTCTCTCTCTCTCTCTCTCTCTCTCTCTCTCTCTCTCTCTCTCTCTCTCTCTCTCTCTCTCTCTCTCTCCCTCTCCCTCTCTCTTTCATGCTCTCTCTTACTCGTAGTGCATGGGGGCTGGTGCTTAGAACCTTGGACATGCGTGCCCACCATGTTTTATCTCGTTCTTTCTCTCTCTCTCTCTCTCTCTCTCTCTCTCTCTCTCTCTCTCTCTCTCTCTCTCTCTCTCTCTCTCTCTCTCTCTCTCTCCCTCTCCCTCTCTCTTTCATGCTCTCTCTTACTCGTAGTGCATGGGGGCTGGTGCTTAGAACCTTGGACATGCGTGCCCACCATGTTTTATCTCGTTCTTTCTCTCTCTCTCTCTCTCTCTCTCTCTCTCTCTCTCTCTCTCTCTCTCTCTCTCTCTCTCTCTCTCTCTCTCTCTCTCTCTCTCTCTCTCTCTCTCTCCCTCTCCCTCTTGATTGTTTTAGAGTCTCTTTGCCAAAAACAATAGGCTTTTGAGAAGGTAGTTTTTATAAAAATCAACCAACACACGTAGCAATGCTTTCCTAGCATGCATCACGCCACCGAGTGGCCAACTACATGGGACCGAGGGGGTTGTTGTTCCCCTTCCCTATCCTAGGCCCAAAGCCTATTCCTACCCTTCACTAGGGCTGGCCTCTTGCCATCGCAAACCCCTAGGGTTGCCCACGGTTTTCGCACTCAATAGTGCACCGTGCCTAGCGCCCAAGCGCCTAGTCCCATGGCCCGCTCCTACACCACCGGAGCGGGTCCTTGGCCGCCAAGCCCGTTCCTAGGGCAGGCACTTGCCACGTGGCCCGGCTGGCCGCAGCGGAAGCACGAGCCCCGAAACCCGTGGCAATTGGCCGTGGGCGGGGGGCCCCGCTTGGGTAAGAACGGCAACGGCGCGTTGTTTCCGCCGCGGTTGACACGAGCATATCCGCTTGCCGCACGGTCCATCGCCGCCATGTCCGCGACCGCCTGCTTGAAGGGTCGAGAAGTCAGCAGGCTCTTCTGCTGGTACAACTTGAAGCGCTTCGCCGTGCGGAAGTCGGAGGCGTCCTCCACTTGAAGCACCTCAAAACGCCCCGAGATGAGGTTGAGAGCGTGCGAAATGAGTTCGAGTCCACCCGCCGGGTCCCCGCGCTGCGCCTTGTATTCCGCATGCAGCAGGTACGCGCGCAAGTCCTCCAGCAGCTCCGCTTGCTCTCGCACGGAGTCGTTGACAAATGTCGCCGCCGAAAATGTGAGGTTAGAAGAAGGGAGGGGGGGAAGGTGTTCCGTACCATTAAAATTAACAATGTTGACTGGAGCCTCACCGGCTTCATCTTCAGAGTCGTCAATGTCGTTGTCGACCGCTGGAGCAGGGGGTGCTGCTGTCGCTGCGTCGTTGTCGTGCTCCTCGCGTGCCTTTTTCCTTTTTCGCATTTTCTCTTTTAGCCGACGCAGATGCAGCGGGTAGTGCAGTTTCCGCGGCTGTAACGCTGACGGGCTGCTGCTGTAGAAGGGACAGCAGCGCGTTGACCTGGTCCGGGGTCAACGCCTGCGTCAACGCAGGGGCGGTCGTCGCGTCAGACGAGGAGACCGCCGTCCGCCTCCTCTGGCGCTGACGCGACAGTCCAGTCGCGGGTGCTGGCGTATGCTCGGCATCAGTGGCGTGTGCCGCGCCAGCAGCCGTCGCCACTTGCGCCGCAGGTGCCACTGGCGCCACATGCGTCACTGGCGCCACAGGCGCCGAAGGGTGCTGCTGGGCGTCGGCCGCTTTGTTGACCTCGAGCCCGCCCAGCAGCACGTCCACTGCAGTCGGGGCGGGCGGTCCATCTTCTGCCCGTCGCTTGTTACGGCGTTCGCCCGCCAAATCGCGGGTGTTACGGTCGGAATCGGAGGCGGGGTGGGTGCCATCGTTGAGCGATTGAAGTTAAAAATGTCGCTGAGTAAAGTCGAGGGTGACTCGCCTCTACGAAGCGATTTTGTTCTAGCCGGCTTGGACGGAGGGATAAACTACGTGAGCGGAAATGTTGAGTGAGCCGTTTGAAAGTCGAGAAACGTGGGTGGAGGGAAATGAACTCCAACCCACGGTTTTTGTAGTTGGAGAAGGGCGTTTAGCGCGCTTCGACGATGCCAATTGTGCAGTACAAGCAGCTTCGCTTTCACAATACACAATTTTAAAAAACACAATGTGTTTAAATTTTATAATTTCTTGTTAGTGCAAAACCCCTTCCTTTCCACGCTACTCATGCTTCTCTCGTTCCTAGCTACTAAGCTACTTTAACATGGTTTCATAGCAGATTCTGTCCTAGAATCGTCCTCTTTTTTTTTTAGAATCATGGGCCCACCCGTCGCGCAGCCCGTAATGCGCCCCGCGGGTCCCCGAGTCCCCCCGTAGGCGACCCCCGCGGGTCCCTCGCTTCGCGCTCCGAAGGCCCCCCCAATTCGCGGCCCTTTCCCTCCCCCCCGTCCCATTTTTCTTTCCCCACATCGCCTGCCTGCTTCTGCAGTGCGGGGAGGTGGAGGGTGGGGGGGGGGGGGCGGCAGGAGAGTGGAGCCCGCGCCCTGCCCGTGCCTCTGCCCGCGCCCACTCTATCCTCCGCCGTGCCCTGCCACGGCGGACGCTGTGAGGGGGAGGTGGCAGGTATGGAGGCCGCGGCGATGGGGGTGCTGCAGCCCCCTTGAATCCCCCGCCCCTCCCTTTTCCTCCTCCTCATCGCTGCAACAACAACTGTTGGGCGTGCCGCTCTGGGGGGGGAGGAGAGGGTGTGGGGGTGGCGGGTTTGACAAGGCAGCCGCCCCTCCTCTTTCTAACTTCCACTGCACCTCCATTCTCCCTACTCCTCATCCTCTCATTTTTCGCGTCCATGAGCCACAAGTCGCCGCCTTCTTTTAGCTCTGTCGTTTCTGGGCACGTTCACTCCCTTACACGCACACGGTTCGAGCTGCGGCTTTGTGATTGCACCTCTACGGGTGACTGCCCCTCACTGGCTATATTCTTCATGCAGTTAAAGGGGGGTGTTGAATGTATATTCTTATAACTGCATGTTGCTATATAATGTAGTATCATCTTAGGGTACATTCCTGAAGCGCGTCACAAAGGCCTCGCGTCTCAATCGAAGAGATGCAGTGCGGTGGAAATGTTCGATACTTAGGTGTAATGCGGTGCAGACTGGTACAGAGGTTGTATGATGCGATTGAGACATTTGTGTCAAGAGCGGAATGTACCCTTAGTATTGTCTCGTGGTGGTGTACCTTTTTTTTTAGTGCAAAATCCCTTCCGTTTCTCCCAACTTACGCTACTCACGCTTCTCTCTTTCCTAGCTACTAAGCTACTTTAACACCCATCTGCAAGTTATGTAACAAATTTTCCTATACGCCTTCATCAGCACCGAAACGTTTTTTTGCCACATTCACATGATATTGTCATCGTCATTCGTTATTTATTGTTGCAATTGTTGCCCCTATGATGCAATCCTTGTTCCCATAGTCTCTGTAACTCACATAAAATCTCCCCCTTTGAATTGCAATTGGTACATTTGACATAACAAGGACAATTCGTGTAACAACTTCACATTGTGTGTTTACAACGCCATAACAAGGACAATTGGTGTAACAACTCCATTGCTGACACCTCCAGTTTGTCAGAGCTACCGAATCGCGGTGGCCAACGGATCGCAAATATCGTCACTACCCCACATTCCCGCTCGTCATCGGCGCATCAATTTCGCAATCCGCATCGAATCGTGGGCAGGCTCAACATTACTGTTATGACAAGACCTCGTCTACTGTATATGCCAAGTCTTTTCCCTCGGGTCGGGACGGGCAAAAACAGAGCAGTGAAGTGAGAGCGCCCTGGGGAATGTCGGAATCAAGTTTCTGAAACGGCTAGCAATAGCAAAAACTGGAGTCCTGTAACTTCAGGCGAAAATACATTATTGTTTCGCACAACTGTGCTGCTGCGACACCTCCGCGAGACCTTTCCAATTCGCAACATAACATTCACCTTCCATTCTGCACCCTTCCATCCCACGGTCACCCCATCTCACCCATTTCATTCCACCAAGCCTAGAATATTTCATACCACCTGGCCCGACTTGCCGGCCCATCTCTTCATTTGGGAGGTCCCATCCAACGCGATTCACGACTGCATCACGGCTCACGACACATAACACCTCAACGCAAGCACCTCATGCGTCCCGCCAGTCCGACAGACTAAAGCGGTACTTTGGTTTTCTTTCGATGCCAAAAAGCATCCGCTAGTTCATGAGGCTTCGGTTCACTTCTCAGCCATCACCCACCATTTCTCTGTAGGACCCTCGCGCCTCAACGCACCGCTTGCAAAGAGCAGCATCAGCAGCAGCAGCAGCAGCAGCAGCAGCAGAAGGAGCAGGAGCACGGACAGTGATGTCGTTCCGAGCACCGCTGCTCAGCAGCACGGCAGCGAGGAACAAGCCGTCCGTCTTCCAGTTATCCGTCAAATACTCAGCTGCTGGCGGCAATTCCGCGCCGCCAATCAGTCCGTACGGAAAGGTCAAGAAACACAACTGGTCAGGATGCGGCCCTTTCGTCTGGGAATGTCTGGGAGGGAAGCCCATGCTGCTTATGATGCTCATAACCGCCTGCGTCGCGGGCCACGTGGCGATTAGCAGGGGCCGCCAGTCCGCCTGGACGCGACTCGCCAGCGAGCCGCAGATGATTCTTGCCGCCCAGAAAGCCCACGTCGCAGAAGCTCTGTCCGGAGAAGCTATGAGCGTTCGCGTCTCGGAGGATATGAAAGTGCGCGACTCGAGCATCGAGAGCACCGTCACCACGAGCGGCGGTGTCAATGTTGCGGAGTTCAAGGGACAGAGCGCGGAAACCGACGAAGCTTCTTCCGCGTCTTCCTCCGCAACAGTCGACGATGCACTCGAGCGGCAAGCATCGGAGGAAGGGGCGGCGGAATCCACGCCGCAAATTCCGGCGGAGGCTGCGGAAGCAGAGGAGCTGCACCAGGAGGTCCGTGCCGCGGTGCAGCAGCAGGCGGAGGCGGAAAAGCAGCGGTACTACCTGGTGGTTGGCGGGAACAACACGTGCATCGCGGAGGACGAGTGGAGATGGAATTTCCTGTGCGCTGCGGCGGAGGCAAAGGCGTTAAATCGCGTATTAGTCATCCCGCTCATGTACTGTTTTCCCGGAAGAGGCGGCAACCGCGTGGAGCGGCCCATAGCGCTTTACTACGACCTCGAGAAGATGAAAAGGTGAGGACCGGTAAATGCGGGGAAGGGATGGATGGTGAGGAAAGAGAGGTTTGTGATTCGCATCGATAGGCGCGAAGCGGCCTTTGGCGCTTCAGTATGGTATGCAAAAGATGGAAAAGTGGGGAACAGGAAAAAGATAGAGGTCGGAGGGGACGGGGACGAGAGAGAGGCTCGCGACACGCCCAGAAATGCGAGGAGCGGCCCATGGCGCTTTGTTATGACGTGGACGGAATGGGATGTGAGGAACGGATGGGGGGCGAGGTAGGGGAAAGTGGAAGGAGAGGGGACGGCGGGAGAAGCTCTCTAAGAGGTTCGAAACTTTCTGTATTCTGCATAGTATTTGGTCGAGGGGTTCGAAACGCGAGAGACGGTGATTCCGTGAAATGTGGTTGTATGCTTGTCGGTGTTGTGACTACACCGAGGGTTCTTTAACTGCACTGGCTTGCCGCCCTGCTGCTTCGTATCTTAATTTTCCCCTATTGCTCGTCCTCCCATTTCCCCCCCATTCATTATTCCCCCCATTCGTGTACATCACCTTTACCCTGCCACCCCCCGGGCTTCTTCCCCCAACCCCGTGTCCCCCGTCTCCCTCCCCTTCCCCCACACCACTCCTTCCCCCTGTCTCCCCCCCCACGATCAGCATCCAGCCACTCGTGAGCGACCTGGAATTCGACCTGCGATTCGGCGACTGGCGCTCCGGCTCGTTCCGCAAGCGGTACACGGTGCGCGAGTTCGGGCCGCACGACCCCACGAGCGATGTGCGCAGCAACGCGGCCGACGCGCACCTGGTCGTGCGCGTTCTGCAAGAGCAACAGCGCACCGCGCGCATCTGCAAGGGCGAGGTATGCGAGCAGGCTGGCGGCCCTCCGTTACGGTGTGTGTGGCATCATGCTCTGGTTTTTGTCTTCCGCTCCCAATCCATAAGTTGGAAGCACGGCTTCTCAAGCCTCGTCCGCGAAAACGGCTGGATCTTTGCTTTTCTTTTCTTTCGGAGAATTTCAATATGACTCCAGCACAGCAGCTGCAACTCATGTTAGGGTTACAGGCTACGAGTCAAGCTACAGGCGGGCCACGCAAAGAGTGCCGCAATCAACGAGGCTCCCTTTTCCTTCGCTCAACCCTTGCCAACCCAGAATTGCCAACTCCTCCCTTCTCCTTTGCTTGTCGCGCTGGCAGGACTCGTTGGTGCGCAACGAGCGGCTGGTGCAGGAGCGCAAGGAGCTGAAGGCGCTGAGCGGGGCCATAGCGGCTTCCATTGGCGGTGTCTACGACGCGGTGTCGGTAAAGAGGGCGAAGAAGAGCCTGTGGACGGGATGGTCCCACGTGGACAGGCTCACACGCCCCGCCGCGTGAGTGGTGTGCCTCTTGTGATGCTGCTGCTGCCGCTTCTGCTGCTGCTGATGATGGTGCTGGTCGTATGCTGTATAGATGCTCGCAGTTGCAGATGGATGGATCCCCACTTCCATCCCTTTTTCTGATGCTCGTGCTTTTCAGGCTGGTGAAGTCCCTCCCCCGCTTCATTCCCAAGGGACGCCACGTGTACATAGCGTCGAACGAGCGCACGCCGGGCTTCTTCAGCCCGCTCGCCTCGCTCTACAAGATCCACGTGCTCTCCGACTACCGCCACCTCTGGGCGCCCGGCAGCGACTGGTACAACGACTACAGGGACGTGCTCGCTGCACTGAGGATGAGAGGCGCTGATCCTCAGTTCGATCTGCATATGAAGGTGAGAGCGGGAGTAACTGGTGGAGATTGGAGGGGAATTGGCAGGGCAAGGGTTTGGATTTTTTTGGAAGGGTGATGAGGAGTGTGGCTGTTGTGCGATGCGGTTGATTGTGCTATGGTTGGTTGCAGTTTGAGTTACGATTCAAGGTCGTGAAATAGGGTTGGAAGCCGATTTACTAATCTATTTATTTGTTGCATTCTGATTCTAATCCTGCCTGTCACGGTTATGGTGCCTGTTTTCAAATGGCTAACTCTTATGCTCCTTGTTTGCTTGTCTTATACGTTGGGTTATCAACAGTCGATTGTGGACCGCCTTGTTATGAAGAGGGCGTCAATGAAGGTGGATACGTTCAAGGACATCGTACCCCTTAACCACTCATAGTCATCTCTCGTTTCCCTAGTCACCCACGTGCACTCCACCTTGCAGGGTGGACCTTGGTGACATAAGGAAATGGAATAGTTTCCCAGCTTTGCATTTTGGATAAAGACATTAGTTACTGTCAAGTAGGCTGTTTTTTTTCAGCTTTAGAAGCTTCATTTTGATATTCTGCTGTTTTGCATGCTAGCACTTCGGTACACCGCATTTATCTTCAAAACTTGACTTCGATGTATGATTTGGGTGCCACGTGTCGACCACTTCAATCAGTTTCTTTCCACCCATTGCCTAGCTGGCACGCAGCATGTGAGTCTTGCCGACACGCGTCTCGGCCATGTCGCAAATTTCCCGTTCCCCTGCTGTACATTTCCGTCCACATTTCTGGAGGACGATAGGTTGGTCGACATTGCAGCCTCTGGGGACGAAAAAGAAAGCCGTAAACCACCAAAGCCAAGGAAATATAGATTTGCTAAGTCCACCTTTCCTTCATGTTTTTTCTTCGACCTAACTCGTCTTCTCCCGCAATTGGAGCTTAATACGCGAATTGTTTGAGGCCGTCCTTTGTGTCCTTCTCTCTGGTGTTCGAAGCAGTTTTTTGTTCACCTGTGAAGTTGCGTTGTTGGAAATTACTGACACTAGGTGTCGCACTTCTTCGGATCTGGCTCTGCCTTTCGAAGATCGCAGCCAGCATGCCAGCCAACGGAGCGCAGGCAGGGGGAGGAGCAGCGGGTGGGAGAGCAGGAGGGGCCGCTGGTGGGGCGGCTGGTGGGGCGGCAGGTGGGGGTGCATCTGGAGCTTCGACGACTAGTAGACCGGCGACGTCACCTGGAAGCACCCATTCTCCGATCCGCGACGCGGCGAGCGGGCAGATCAAGGGCATGGAGAGCTTCGCGGAGCGCAAGGCGAGCCGCGGGCGGTTCATCGTGATCTCGCTCATCGCAGCAACAGCCGCCGCAGCGTGGATAACTAACTACACCGCGAATTCGCGAGGCCAGCCCGTTCCCACGGTGCCTAAGGAGAAGGATAAGGACCAGACGCACCACCCGGAGGGCCCGGTGATTAAAAACGCGCCTAAGCACATAGTGGCGGGGCCTGGGGTCACGGGGCATAACGAGGCGCTGAAAGGGAGCCTCCCTGAGTCGATTAATATCTCCAGGGACCGGGGGTGAAGGGGGAGCGGGGTGGTAACCAGGCAACGGGGTAATAGATGATGACGAGGGGGGGAGAAGGGGGGGGAGGAAAGGAGGGGAGGGGAAGGAGGGGGAGGGGGAGGGGAGGAGTGGGCGGTTGCAAATTGGAGAGGTTGTCACGCCTGGCCATTGCCAAAGAATCTGTAGTTCGGCTGCTGGTGCCCTCAGGACAGGAAAGATATTGCAGTTGTTGGTGTTGGTGGTGTGCTTAGGCAGATGTAAATATGTTTTCCCAGACTGAAAACGCACCTGTTCATACCGGTACCTCCATTCATTCATGCTGGTGAAACCGTGCATATGTGTGCAAATTTTGTTTAGTTTTGAGAAGAAATGCCTACGGTGGTAGTACAGTAGGTACTGGTACATTCCTTCCTACTACCGTACCTACCACCCTGGCCAGCATCAGGCGTTCATTTCTTGTTTGCAGGTAACAATAGTAACAATTGTTCTCCTTGGGGCAAGATATCGGTAAATAAATTCACATTGCAAGACATTGTCACAGACAACTCGGGTTGGAAAGCACAATGATAGAGGCGCCTACAATATACGAAGCGCCTCAAAAGCACAAAACAAAGTATTAGAGTGCAACGCCTCACCTGATGCCCGTGGGGTGTGCGGGTGGGGGAGAAGTGGGGGAGGTGGAAAGTCACCACGTGCTGTGACCGTGCCTTGGCCTATCTTGCCCAGCTCGTATTCCACTATCACCTGATGCCCGTGGGGTGTGGGGGCGGTGTGGGGGAGGTGTGGAGGAGGTGTGGGGGAGGTGTGGGGGAGGTGTGGGGGAGGTGTGGGGGAGGTGTGGGGGAGGTGTGGGGGAGGTGTGGGGGAGGTGTGGGGAAGGTGTGGGGGAGGTGTGGGGGAGGTGTGGGGGAGGTGTGGGGGAGGTGTGGGGGAGGTGTGGGGGAGGTGTGGGGGAGGTGTGGGGGAGGTGTGGGGGAGGTGTGGGGGAGGTGTGGGGGAGGTGTGGGGGAGGTGTGGGGGAGGTGTGGGGGAGGTGTGGGGGAGGTGGAAAGGCACACGGCACATGTGATGTGACCATGCATTGGCCTTCTTGCGTCGACTCAAAGTTTTGACTCGACTAGAAAATCAACCTTCTTGCCCAGCTCGTGGTCCGCTATCACCTGATGCCTCAGGGGTGTGGGGGAGATGAGGGGAAGGTGGAAAGATGGTGGGTGAAGAGGCATTTGCCTCACCTGCATTTCAGAGTCAAACTCCACATCCTCCTCCTCTCCCCTCCCCCCTCCCCCTTCCCCTACCCCCAACGTCCGCAGCAGCTGCCGCATCTCCCTCTCCCACGCGCTCCCCGGCCCCCAGAGCGCGCGGTAGTCGCCCAGCAAGTGCATGCGGTAGAGGCGCGAGAGGGCCAGGAAGAACCCCGGTTCACGCTCGTTTGTGGCGATGTACAGGTGGCACCCCAGGGGGGCCAGAGAAGGAAGTTTTTGAATCAGCCTGGACGGAGGTAGGGGGAGGGGGAGAGGACTTTTGAGGCGCCTCAAATGGCCAGGAAGAACCCCGCCTCGCGCTCGTTGGTGGCGATGTACAGGTGACACCCCAGGGGGGCAGCGAAGGGAGCTTCTGAATCAGCCTGGAGGAGGGGGGGGGGGGGAAGAGATGGGATGGGGGTGAGGAGAGACGGGTGGGGAAGGAGAGTCAGCGTCTTGATTGATTTGTTAGAGTAAAGGAAGGACGAGGGGAGGGGCGGGAAGGGAGGAGGGGAGGGGTGAGGAGGGAGGAGGGGAGACTAGGGCAATTGGTCAGACCTTCCCTGAGTTCCATGTGGGAAACAAGACCCCGTTCCATGTGGGCTTTGAGTCGACTCAAACCACGACCCCCTTCCATGAACCCCACAAGGACCTGCCCTTCCCTCACCTGCCTCCCTGCCTCACCAAAAGTCTAGTCAAGAAAGAAAGAAAGAAAGAAAGAAACAAACAAACAAAGAAAGAACCGACCCCCTTCACCAGCGAAATCCCAAACACCCGTTAACACCCTCCACCTCTCTCCCCACTCACCCATTCACACGACAGAAAGAAAGGAAGAAAAGAACGCGCCTATAACCCGAAAACCCCATACGCTTCAGGCCGTGTGTCGCGGTCGAGATGAGGCCACTTGCGTGGATCAAGCTTGTCTCCCCTGCGCACGTGCACGTAGTGAAACTGACCCTCGCCCCCCATGGACGCCACTATCGCGTCAATGATGCTCAGCAGCGGCGCCGTGGGGACCAGGATAGATTTGTCAGGGGTTACAGGGCTCTGCGGTGGGGAGGGGTTGGGATGGGTTTAGAGAAATTTCAATTGAAACACGTGCAGGTAGTGAAACTGACCCTCGCCCCCCATAGACGCCACTATAGCGTCAATGGTGCTCAACAGCAGTGCCGTGCCGTGGGGACCGGAATGGACTTGTCAGGAGTCACGGGGCTCTGCGGTGAGGAGGGGTCGGGATGGGTTAAGAGACGTTTCAATCAAAGCATGTGCAGTACGGATAAAGTGGTCACGGGTGAGGAGGCACGGGGCTCTGCTGTGAGGCAGAGTTGGGGTGGGGTGGCAGGGGTTGGCTTGAAAGAGAAGAAACTGTGTTCCATGGGAAGGGCGGGAAGGGCGGGACCAGCAGAGAGAAAGCAGGTAGAGCGGGAAGGGCGGGAAGGGCGGGAAGGGCGCAGCATGCATGTAGCCAAAGGAACCGTCCCCTCCCACCCATGGACGCTCAGCAGCGGTGCTGTAGGGACGGAGAGGAGGCACGGTGCTCTGTGGTGTGGATGACTAGGGGTGGGGAGGGGTGGGGTGCGGTGGATGGGGTGGATGGATTGTGGAGAGTTTGGTAGTTGACTGCGTGGATTGTGAGGTCGCAAGGTAAGTAAATGTTATTTCTTTCTTTCTTTCTTTCTTTTCTTCGTCAAGGGTGAAAAAGGTGGGATCAAAACACATTTTGAGGTATTTCAAGACACGTGCCGTGAGGGTGGGCTTTTGATGACTGTGTGTACCTCTAAAATCAGCTCACCTCGCTGTAACTTCCATTGCAAATGATGAACCCATACCGCCCCTCCTGCACGTGCCTTCTTCAGTAAGCCACCAACCAAGCCCCCAGCAACATCAACTCACCTCGGTATAACTTCCATTGCAGATCATGAACCCATACCGCCCCTCCTGCACCTGCATTCCAGCAAACAACCAAACCTGTGAGACCTCCCGACCACTATCAACCGCGACGAACCTCGGTGTAACTTCCATTGCATGTCATGAACCCATACCGCCCCTCCTGAGGCTGCAGCCTGCCGGATCAGCAGGAACACGCCCCTCTGCTGCTGCCGCTGCTGCTGCTGCAGCTAAAACCCGAAACCTGAGGCACATGAAGGGCCGAAACCTGAGGCACATGAAGGCCCGAAAGTGCCGACTCACCTCGCTGTAGCTTCCATTGCAGATCATGAACGCGTAGCGCCCCTCCTGAGGCTGCCGGATCAGCAGGAACAAGCCCCTCTGCTGCTGCAGCTGCTGCGTTGAGTGCCCTTTCCCCACCCCATGGTACCCTATATCCATGTGCTCCCACGACTTGAACCGCGCAAGGAAGGTGGAGAGGGAGATGATTGGCTGGTGGCTGGGGGTGGAGTGGGGTGGGGTGGGGTGGGGTGGGGTGGGGTGGGGTGGGGTGGGGTGGGGTGGGGTGGGATGGGGTAAGGTAGGATGGAAAATGGTGACGTTTTGCTGCAACATCTTCCCCCCTGCCTCCCCTCCCCCACCCCATGGTACCCTATATCCATGTGCTCCCACGACTTGAACCGCGCAAGGAATGCGGAGAGGGAGATGATTGGCTGGTGGCTGGGGGTGGAGTGGGGTGGGGTGGGGTGGGGTGGGGTGGGATGGGGTAAGGTAGGATGGAACATGGTGAGGTTTTGCTGCAACATCTACCCGCCCTCCCGCCCCTCCCCCACCCCATGGTACCCTATATCCATGTGCTCCCACGACTTGAACCGTGCAAGGAATGCAGAGAGGGAGATGACTGGCTGGTGGCTGGGGGTGGAGTGGGGTCCAGTGGGGTGGGATGGGGTGGGGCAGGGTGGGACTGGTGTGAGTTTCTGCTGCAAAATTTACCCGCCCTGCCTCCCCATCCCCACCCCATCGTAGCCTACACCCATTTGGTCCCACGATTTGAACTGCGTGGAGGGTGAAGAGATGGAGATCACTGGCTGGTGGCTGGGGGTGGGTTGGGGGATCCAGTGGGGTGGGATGGGGTAAGGGAGTATGAGGTAGGGTAGGGAGTGGTGTGAGTCTTCAGTCTTGACCCCTTCTGCTGGCCCTCTCTCTTCTCCCCACGTGTCTGAACCGCGCTAGGAACGCGTCTGATGCCCCAACGGACCCATCACACACCCCCAACGGACCCATCACAGACCCCCAACGGACCCATCACAGACCCCCAACGGACCCATCACACACCCCCGACGGACCCATCACACACCCCCGCAGACCCCAAAAGTCGCACTCATGCCTCGTGCCTCTCGCACGAGACGAGAGCGCGCGGGCGAGAGGAAGCACCCGCAGCACAGCCCTCACTCACTAGCCAGTCCAAACGTGTGGTTGCACAGGGAGCGAGAGGAAGCACGAGCAGATGCAGAAACAGCACCAAGGCCCTTTCAACTCTCCCTTCCCACCCTGTGTCATGAGGCGACTTTTGAGTCGACTCAGAAACCTTCCCCCCCTCCCCCCACACACTCCACACTCCTCCTCACCTCATGATATGCGAGTGGTTATCGTACAGGCCCAAATGCGGCCAATTCACACGCCCTGTATTCGTGTGTGCTTGGCGCTCGGACCCTCACTCTGCACCAGCATGCTTGGCGCTCGGACCCTCACTTTGCACCAGCATGCTTGGCGCTCGGACCCTCACTCTGCACCAGCATGCTTCGCGCTCGGACCCTCACTCCCCTCAGGCCCGCACGCACCAGCGTGCGGTTTAGCGCCTCGCTCTTACAGCACAACCTTCACGCACTAGCATTCCCAGGGTGCGGTAACGCAGAAGCTGCCGCAGCACAGCGGTTCCCTCCCCTCCTCCCCTCCTCCCCTCCTCCCCTCCTCCCCCCTCCTCACCTCATGATACGCGAGTAGTTATAGTACAGCCCCATGTGCCGCCGCTTCTCACGCCCGGTGAGCGTGTGCTTGGCACTCAGGCACCGCTCACTCGACAGCACCAGCGTGCGATTCAGAGCCCTCGCCTCTGCTGCCACGCACGCGAGGCTTTCAGAGAAGTGCGACTGCCCCACGCAGTTGTCTGCCTGGGATGAGAGCAGGTAGAAGCGCTCCCCGCTGTTGTACGCGTCTCGCAAGGCGCTCACTCCTTCCGGGTCCCATGCGCCTCCTGTTCCTCCTCCTCCTTTTTCTCCTCCTTCTGTTCCTCCTCCTCCTGTTCCTCCTCCGTTTTCTCCTCCTCCTGTTTCTCCTCCTCCTCCTCCTCCTCCTCCTCCTCCTCCTCCTCCTCCTCCTCCTCCTCCTCCTCCTCCTCCTCCTCCTCCTCCTCCTCCTGTTCCTCCCCCTCCCATTTCCTGCCCTTCCGCGTCACTTTTCCCTCTCACCACCCCTTCCCTTCCTCCGTCATTTGACTTCTTCTGCCCCTCGTGCTGTCTTTCATGCTGCCGCCCTTTCTGCCTCTCATGCTGCCCCTCTTGCCTCTCATGCTGCCCCTCTTGCGTCTCACCCCGATCCTCCTTCTCTACTTCCTGTGTGGCGATACTCCTACGCTCCTTCTTATCTTCCCTCTCATTCCTTACCTCCTGCTCCCTCTTCTCTTCCTGCTCCCTCTTCTCTTCCTGTTCCCTCTTCTCTTCCTGCTCCCTCTCTTCCTTCTCCTTCCGCTTACTCCCCTCTTTCTCACCCCCCTCTTTCTCCCCCCCCCTCTTTCTCCCCCCCCTCTTTCTCACCCTCCTCTTTCCTACTCCCCTCTTTCTCACCCCCCCCTTTCTCACCCCCCTCTTTCTTACTCCCCTCTTTCTCACCCCCCTCTTTCTCACCCCCCTCTTTCCCACCCCCCTCTTTCTCACCCTCCTCTTTCCTACCCCCCCCTTTCTCACCCCCCTCTTTCTTACTCCCCTCTTTCTCACCCCCCTCTTTCTCACCCCCCTCTTTCTCACCCCCCTCTTTCTCACCCTCCTCTTTCCTAATCCCCTCTTCCTCACCCCCGTCTTTCTTGCTCCCCTCTTTCTCACCCCCCTCTTTCTCACCCTCCTCTTTCCTACTCCCCTCTTTCTCCCTCGCCCCTTTCTCATTACCCACCTCTTGCCCCTCCCTTTCCCCTTGCCCTGCACCCTTCCCTTCGACTTCTCCTCTCAATTCTCCAGAACCCCTTTTCCTATGCTCCCCCTTCTCCTTCCCTTCCTCCATCCTCATCCCATCCCCCCCCACCCCTTCCCCCACATCCCCCACTCCCTCCTGCTTTCCCCGGTCTGCTCCGCTTCCCCCTATTCCCCCGCTTCCATCCCCTTTATTTTCCCCTCCCCCACTCGAGCCATCTCCTCTCGAATTCCCGCCCTTTTTAACGTCCTTTCCCCCCTTTTCCGCATTCTCTACGAATCCCTCGCTTATTTTCCCCTTTTCTTCGTCTCGACCTCCTCCGCCCCGCTTTTGCCGCCGCCATTCGCGCCACTCCGCGTACCGTTCTTGGCGGCGCCGCTGCTGCTGCAGCCTCCACTCCTCGAGCCGCGCCTGACGCTGTTCTAACTGGCGACTCGACAAGAAGAGATGGATTAAGAGACAAAATAGTCCCACCCCTAGACCCGCTACGAACTTGACGCGCAGCTGCGCCATCCGCGCGGAGAAACACCGCGCGCGAGCTCATGCGCGGAAATTTGGGCGCGCATCCGCGTGTTAGCGTGTCCCCCAAGAGAAAACACAGAGCACTACACCCTCTTTCTCGCTAAACTGGCATCTAGTGTAAGAACAGGGACGGGTTGTTGAACCTCAACGCACCCATGAAGGTGCTATCACATACGGTATAGTCACACTCGTATGAGTCGGTCGTTTTCAAGTAGGAATGGTGGGTAAGGGTATTCATCAGCAGCATCTATGAAATCTCACGCCCCAGTGCAGTTTGTGGCGTGGTGCATTTTTGCACGCATCTCCCAAGGTTCGGTTTACTGTGTGTCACCAGCGCGCCAAATCCAAGCACTGTAGCCATTGATTGCGGTGGTGAGAAGGTCGAGAGAATGAGGGTGAACAGATAGCAGCTGTTTCGACATTGGTGGCAGATTTTGGAATTACTCGACGAAGTCCTCTCCAGTCCAACCCGGTCGGTCCCTAATTTGTACCCGATGAACGAAAGTGGCCCTTTCCCCATAATAGACCAGCCCCTTAAGTGGATCTACAGCTAGTTTTGCTTATTCTCAGGTGAAAACTGTTCCTATTAATTATGTTCTTTTCCTTCTCCGTTTCCTTCCCCATGCATACTCACCCTCTGATATTTGAAATAATAAGGGCCTGGGAAATATAAACCGTTTCATATCCTTGCTTTCATTTGACAATTCTGTAATTCACTGATTAACAAACTTTACTATCTATGCATGAACTGTACACCACGGAATACACTTTCCTCCTATGGTCGGTCTTCAGGTTCCTTCGGGAGTATAGGTTCGCTTCGGCAGGAGGTTCGTGGCACAAACGTCAAGTACCAAACCTGTCCTTTTCCAAACCAGCCAACCAAACTTGAGAGAATAGTTCATAGAGGGTTCCGTTAGTACCACCACCAACCTCCAGTTTCAAGGTTATTGCATCTGCCGTGGTGCATTTCGTGGCCGCTACTGAACGGCGGAAACAAGGCAGCAGCACCACCCACGACAATGGTTTGTGCGAGAATTCCAATAAGCTGGATTTTGATCCGCGGTCTATGGCGGTGACAAGTAGGCTTATATCTTGGAACTTTCTACTGCAGTGACAAATTTCAACAAAGTGTCCACATCACACGGCCTTTAGCGACTAATGTTTCCGCTGCTTTCTGTCACCACCTGCGCCTATCTCGAACCGATTGTGGTTCGAGTTCTGCAACCATCTATCCTTCCTAGCTAGGTTCACAATGATGGTTGCTGGGGACTCCCGTCAAAGAGCCGTGAGTGCTTCTAGAGACATCAGCAATGGGAGCTGTGGCACCATGTCGGACAGTGGTTGTAACAATACCAGTAACAGCAGCAGCCTCCCTTCCAGTCGTGGCGAAGGACATGCCTCAAACCCGCCTGTAACGGGATCTTTCGCCCGTTTCGCCATGAAGGTTTCGAACGGACGCATCACCATTCCCCTGCTTTCCTGCTCTCTGATCATCCTCCTCTCCGTCCTCCTCATCCTCCTCCTCCGCAACCCCTCGAGCTTACCGCGCTCCGGGACAACAGCCGTTCTCCGTTTCAATGCGAGCAGCCCCAAAGTTTTCCGCTGCCCGGTCAACATCAGCAGCGTTACCCGTACCACTTCCCTCGGGATCGACTCGAATTTCCCGCGCCCTGTGCCTTGGTCCCCTCAGCCCGGAAAATACCTCCTAGCGACGTGCGTGCAGGGTCAACTATCGAACCGGCACCTCTGTGTACATAAATCTCTCCTCCTCGCAATGCTCCTAAATCGCACGCTCATTCTCCCGCCTGTCGACGTATGTCTGGGATCAGCGGCTTTGCACAGGACCTATGATCTAGCGTTAACTATAGACTTGGACCACTTAGCCCAATGCTTCAAAGGAGTAGGAGGCCCGAACTGGGGGCCCGAGGCAGCAGCAGCAGCAGCAGCAGAAACAGAATCAGGAACAGAAGCAGGAACAGAGTCAACTGCAGCAGAACTTTCAGCAGGAGAGAATCCCGATAAGAACCTTCCCCTTATACCTCCTGGTGTGATATCCCTGGAAACCTATCTGAAGACATACAACAACAATCGCAGCACTCTAGTGGTGGACAAATTCGCATGTGGTCTCGTCCCCGACCGCACCGCCTGTGCAGACCTGCTCAACTGCAGCAACAGCAGCGAATCCAACCAGACAACCATCACCTTCCCCTCTAAGATCTCCCAAATGCATCTCCCAAAGGGTCGTCTTGCAGATCTGGCCTCCAGGCTAGCGAACCACGCCCCTGCCACGGTCTCTGCGCGGGTCCTTAGCCTCGGGGACCTTTTTCGCCTAAGCACACTAGAGTTTTCCCAGAATACGGCGTTTCTGCCGCCGCCGTTTCTTCCCACAGACTGTGGCTTGCCGATTCGGCCGCCTGCTCCTATTGTGAAGGCTGCTGCTTGGTACATGCAGGAGTATATTGGGAGAGACTTTGTGGCACTGCATCTCAGGAGAAAGGACTTCTTGTCCCGGTTTCAGTACAGCCGGGGAAACCAGGCTGATTATTTTCCCCTCACGACCATTGCAGAGTGTGTGCTGGAAAGAATTGGTGCTGCAAATAATGCTGCAGCAGCGGAACCGGGCGTTGCTGATGCGGACAGTGATGGTGTTGGTGCTGCTGCTGCTGCTGGTGTCAGCGGGCTTGCTTCCTTTGCCAGACCCTTGCACGAAGTACGTCAAATTCACGTTGTCTTTCTGTGCACGGATGCAAGCACACGACAAGTGAAGATTCTTTCGAAGCTTTTGGAGATCCACGGAATTACTTTGCTGCGCATGAACATGCTCACAGACATGGCTTTCCCCTTTTCTGGGGTCGATCGCAGAGTGGCAGAATCCCCTGACGCTGCAGCCATGGTGGAAAAGGTGATTGCTGCTAATGCACGCTTTGTGTTGTACGCCCGGGGGTCTAGCTTTTCTGGGCAGATTAGGTATTTGAGGAGGAGCCTTGGGCTTGAGAGTTGCTGGGATGGGATTGTTTGTGAGGAGAAGGCCGATGGAGTGCTGTCACTACCAAAAGCGCTTTTGGAAAAAATAATTTGATGCTGGGTTTGTCTAGATAAGGGTGGCGAGTATTCGCTTTATCCAAACCTGGTGCTTAGTACGGTACGGTACCACCATTGTCCCGATCTTTGTGCAGTCATATCGTACCCTACATGTACATATTAACATGGTAAATGTTGTTACAGAGCGACTCTGTAAGGAATACGCTGAGGCTTCGCAGTACCTGCGTTTTGGTGACGTCATCACGAATCTGTGGTCCCCATTCACCCACGCGATCAGCTACCTAGGAGATTAATCCAAAGAGATGAAAACGAAAAACAGATCATTAAACGAGTAATGCTGGATGGCAACTCTTGAACGTTAAATACTGTCGCTGTCCACTCTCTCTCGAGCGGATTCGAGTTCCTGGCGTTGGTCACGACATTCGCACGCGTTTTCGCAACAATATGTAACCACATTTGGCGCTCGGCACGGCAGCACGTCGGAGACGCGATGGCACTCTTAACGCTGTCCGGGTCACTCTCCCGGCGCCATTCACTGCTGGGAGGTGGCGGCTCGCGAATCATAGCAGCCACTTATAACGGATTCGGAAGCAGCTGCTCTCGTTACTGTCACGCCAGTTGTTGCGACGCCTCGTTGCCTCTGGCACTCTTGCGCTATGGGTCCCTCTCGAATCCCAACTTTCCCTCCCACTCCTCCTTTTCATATTCCTCCTCCTCTCCGTCTCCGTCCCTCCCGACCCCGGCAGCCATTGCTTTCCCGTTCAGAACTCCAATTGCGTTATCTCCTTTTTCGCAACGTTGTCGGATCGCCCCTAGTAGATCCCCGCTTCCCCAAGGCTGTTCGTCCGGGCGCGATCTTTCTCCCGTTCTTCCGTTGCCCCATGCACCACCACTGCTCGTTAATCCCCCTCCTCGACTTCCTTCTGCTGCTGCAGTTGCGTATCGGGTTGCAAGGACACACAGAGGCATCAGTAGCACCACCACACTTGACAGCAGCAGCGGCACTACCACCGCCACCAGCAGCAACGCCAATGCCAACGCCACTGCCACCGCCACGACAGCGGTTAACCCAGCGTGTCTCGTCTCAGCGCAATACCGGGCTGAGGTGGCATCGGGCCGGCTGACGTGGGACCCACGCCAGGCTGACGTGGCAGCCGCCATGGACGACCTGGTAACCCAGCTGGCAGCGTATGACTGAGCAATGCGAGAGTACCAGGTGGCGCTCGCTGATTGGCTCTCGCAGCGGAGGGCTCTGAGAAGAGAACTGGTGGAGAAGGAGAGGAGGGAGGCGAGGGAGAGGGAGGGGAGGAGGAGGGGGAGGGTGCAGCGGTGGGGGTGGTTGGCTGCGTGGTGGCATGGCATGGCTGATTCTGCTGCTCGCCTTGCCTCCTCCAGGTAACACCTGTTCCTCTCCCTCCTCTCCCTCCTCTGCCTCCTCCCCCTCCTCTCCCTCCTCTCCCTCCTCTGCCTCCTCCCCCTCCTCTCCCTTCTCTCCCCCCTCTCCGTCCTCTTTCTCCTCCCTACTCCCACCCACCTTCTTCCCCTCCCAGATTTGAGTCTTAAAACTCCACCCTTGTTCCTCCGTCTTCTCGCACCTTCCTTCCCTCCCTCGCTCTCCCTCGGTCTCCCTCTCTCACTTCCACACCCACATGCCCTGTGGATTTCCAAGAATCTAAACCAACTCACCCACATGCCCTGTGCTCACGATGCTCCTCCATACACCGTCCCATCTCCTTCCCCTGCCCTTTTTGCGTCCGCCCCTCGCTTCCATCAAGTGATCCAGACTTCGATCCCTCATTCATAATTTGCACCTCGAAACTCGCCATCCCAATCCCCCTTTCCTTCCTTCCATCCCTCGCACGCAGGGCACAGCGCTCTCTCCTCGCGTCCGCCCCCGCTCCCCTGCAAGGCCTTTCTTGGAAACAACAGTAACAGCAACAACAGCAGCAGCGACACTAGCAGGACCGAGCGGTCGGGAATCCTGGATAGACTGATAGGCGCGGACGGTTGGAGCAGCAGCAGAAGCAGCAGCAGAAGCAGCAGCAGAAGCCATGCACAGTCGCCTCTTCTGGACTGGCAGGGGCGCCGACCCTCCCAAGGGGCACCACCAGGGCGATTCACACTTGAGAGACTCACCCGAAGGGGGCGGGGGATGGGGAGAGGAGGAGGAGGAGGAGTGGTGGTGGTGGAGAGAGGGATTGGCCGGATAGCGAGACGGATCAAGCGGGAAAAAGCTCTGGATGGTATGATGCCCCCTCGGCCGCTCGCCCCTGCTGCTCCCCAGGGGGTTTACTTGCACGGGAGTGTGGGTTCTGGGAAGACCATGCTCATGGATATGCTGTTTGGAGCGGTGCAGAGGGGTGCAGTGGTTGGCGTGGCGAAGCGAGTGCATTTTAATGAGGCTATGCTGGAAGTGCATCAGCGGATGCATAGGTATTGGCGGGGGAAGGAGGAGGTGAAAGAGAGGAGGAGGGAGCGGGAGAGGGCGAGGCGGGAGAGGGGTGCAGGAGTGGTGGGGATCGGTGGGGTGGGGTTGCAGAGAGGGGAGACAAGGTGGGATGAGGAGGACGAGGAGGAAGAAGAGGAGGAGGGCGAGGATGCGATTCTAGATGCTGTTGCTGATGAGTTTCTGGGCAGGTGGGGAGGTGAGGGTATGGAGGAGCAGCAGCAGGATGGGGAGGAGGACGGAGCAGCAGTGTCGAGAGCAGCAGCAGCAGCAGAGCAGGGAGCAGCAGCAGCACAAGGAGCAGCAGCAGCAGCAGTGCAGGGAGAAACAGTCCAGGGAGCGGCAGTGCTGTGTTTCGACGAGGTGCAGGTGGTAGACGTGTTCACAGCCGTGGCTCTAGGCCGCCTGCTGCACCGCGTGCTGCTCAGAGGGCTGGTCCTCGTCGCCACCAGCAACAAGGCGCCCTGGGAGCTCAACCAGGTGGGTAAGCGCGCATGTGGGGGTGGGAGGGTGAGAGAGCAGGGCTTTAGCGAGTCTTTGCAATGGGATCAGAACGGTGTAAAGAGGGGAAGTGGGAAAGAGCTGATGTAGTCGCTTGTGAGCAGCACTAAAACAGCCTTCCCCACTCCCTTCTCCCTGCCCTGCACAGATCCCATCTCCCTTCCCACCCCCCCCCCCTGTTTGTTCCCTGCCCTCTTGCCTTCTCAGGACGGGCTGCAGAGGGAGCTGTTCCAGTCGTTTGTGAGCACTGTGGAAGGGTCCTGCCACGTGCTGGGCCTCTCCTCGCCCACTGACTACCGCTGCCTGCACTCCGCTCCCCCTCCCCCCGCCCACGTGAGTCCCCCCCCCCCCCCCCTTCCCTTCCTCGCTCACGTGAGTCACCCCCTGCTTCGCATGTCACCCAAGTGAGTTACCCCCCCCACATGGTTTTCCCTGGCCCAATGGACATGTGTTGCTATGCTGCCGTGCTGCCATGGCATGTTTGTGTGTTGACATGTGGGCGTGTGGGCGTCTCATCACGTTGGCATCTTGTCTTGTGAGCATCTTGTCATGCTGCCCTCTCCCTCCCTCACCCTTCCTCACCCTTCCTCACCCTTCCTCACCCTCCCCCACCTTCACCATTCACCCCATTCTCCTTACCTCCCTACCCTCTCCACCCTTCCACGCCTTGCTCAGAACCTACCAGAGCCACCACCAGGCGCCATTTCAACCCCAACCCTCACCCTCCTCACTCCCCACTCCTCTCCTCCTCCTCATCCACCTCCTCCTCCTCATCCTTCCACCAGCACCTCACCCCATCCGTCCCATCAACCTGCCTCCCCAACGCCCCTAGATCCCACCTTCCCTGGTTACTCCTACTTCTGGCCTCTTGGCCCTCACTCAGAGAGTCTCTTTGAGGACAGGTGGCGCGATGCCGTTGGTCGAGAGCTGCAGTTGCATGGAGAAAGGAGGGGGAGAGGAGGCAGGGGGACGGACGGATACGTGGAAGGCCAAGGCAGAGGCAGTGTGGAAGTGGAGAGTGGAGGAGGAGGGATGGAAGGCCAGGGGGAAGACATTCCTGTCATGTTTGGACGGTCAGAACAGAACGCACTCTTTCTCCTCTCTACCTCTCCCCACCCATCCCTCCTCCTCACTGCTCTCGCTCTCCTTCTTCCCAAACCTTTTTTCTCTCCTGAGAGCCCCCCCTTTCCCTCTCTTACCTCGCTCCCTGCCTCCCTCCTCGTTTCCGCTCGTTTCCTTCTCCTCTGCTGCGTCCCTTGCTCCCTTTCCCCCCTCCGTCGCTCCATCTCAACCCCTCTCATTCATCATACCCACATGCACATACAAACGCATTCTTATCTGATTGCCAGCCCGTTTGCAGCATTTGGCGCTTGTTGCTGTTCAGTGAGTGGAGTTCCGAGTGCCATGGTAACGAGGTGACTTTTGAGTCGGTCGCCTCAAAAGTCAGTGAGTGGAGTTCCGACCAAAGTTCAAACTGCATCACCCTTCAAATACCCACCAGATTACATCACCACCTCTCCATGCCGTTTTTCTTCCAGGGAAACAAACCAGACACCCCTTGGCTCATTTTGCCTCTCCACCTTTCCGCACCCATCTGTCTATCCTCCCACGTTGCATTTCTATTTCCCATGCAGATCCCTGCGTGTCCCTGTCTCCGTGCATGGAGTAGCACGCTTCTCCTTTTCTGAATTGTGTGCCAACACGGTATGTCATCGCAGGAGATGGATGCATGAGTGCATGCCATATGTATGCATGCACACCCGATGTTATGGATGCATGCATGCGCTTGTGCTGTAATGTATGCATGCACACATACTGTTATGGATGCAGCCATGCGTGCCACCATATGCATGCACACGTAGGTAGGAGGATGATGCACCATATGAGGTGCGCTGCAACTCTATTAACAGCCGACTTTTGAGCCTACTTTTTAACTCAAAAGTCACCTCGCTTCAACTCTATTAACAGCCACTTCCATGTCATATTTGTCAACAGAAGCCACTCCCACCTTGGTTCTTTATCGGCCCACCCTTTTTGAGGCGCCTCAAAAGCCATTCCTTCTTTTCTTCTCCCTTTTTTTTCTTGGCCAGCTGGGCCCACCAGACTACCTCGCCCTCGCTCTCCGCTACCGCACGCTCTTCCTCTCCACCATCCCCGTGCTCTCACTCACACTCCATGCACAAACCCTTCCCCTCCCCTTCCCCTTCCCATCCCCCCCTCCAATCCCACCAGCTGGGCCCACCAGACTACCTCGCCCTTGCTCTCCGCTACCACACGCTCTTCCTCTCCAGTATCCCCGTGCTCTCGCGCTCAGTGCACGACCAGGCGCGCCGCTTCCTCACGCTTACAGACGAGCTCTACAACCACCGCTGCCTGCTCGTCTGCTCTGCCGCTGCTGCTCCGAACAGGCTGTTCAAGGGGCTGCGGGGGAGAGTGGGGAGTGGGGGGGTGGGGAGGGCTTGGGGTGGTGGAGAGGGGGATGGGGGAGGAGGAGAGGGGTGGGTTGTTGAGGAGGAGGAGGAGGAGGAGGAGGAGAAGGAGGAGGGAGGGATTGTGCCGAGGATTGATCTTGAGAGGTAATGGTGGTTTTATGCTTGTTTTGTTTGCTCAGGCATCCGGATCTCTGCTGCTTCCTGCCGCTTCCTGTTAATTCCTGCCTGCACTTCCTGCCTCCTTCCTCTTTCTCCTCCCCTCTCCTCCCCCCCCCACAGCCTGCAATTCGAGTCGGAGGTGGGGGGCAGTCGCCTAAGAAGGGACGTGCTGGCAGAGGGGGGTCGCTCAGCCCTCACCTCCTTGTCCACACTCCCCGTGCGCCAGCTTTCCGGGCGAGAGGAGGAGTTTGCGTTCCACCGAGCAGTAAGTGCACGCGCTTCTTCCTCCTTCCGCCTTCCTCTGTCTCTGCCCTCACCTCGTCCGCTGCTCTCCCAACACCAGCTTTCCGGGCGAGAAGAGGAGTTAGCATTCCACCGAGCGGTAAGGGGGGGCTTAGGTGTAGCTCGAGTTGACTTAAAGTACTCCCTGTGCACCAGCTCTTTAAATGGGAGGAGGATCTCACGTTGCACCGAGCGGTAAGGAGAGGCTTAGGTGCAGCTTGAGTCGACTTAAAGTACTCCCCGCGCACCAGCTCTCCGGACGGGAGGAGGGATACGCCTTCCACCGAGAAACAATTGCACGCCCTTCTCCCTCCCTCCTTTCCTTCCTCTTTCTCCTCGCTCCCTCCTCTTCCTCCTCGCTCCCTCCCCTTTCTCCTCGCTCCCTCCCCTTTCTCCTCGCTACCTCCTCTTTCTCCTCGCTCCCTCCCCTTTCTCCTCGCTCTTTCCTCTTTCTCCTCGCTCCCTCCCCTTTCTCCTCGCTCCCTCCCCTTTCTCCTCGCTCCCTCCTCTTTCTCCTCGCTCCCTCCCCTTTCTCCTCGCTCTTTCCTCTTTCTCCTCGCTCCCTCCCCTTTCTCCTCGCTCTTTCCTCTTTCTCCTCGCTCCCTCCTCTTTCTCCTCGCTCCCTCCTCTTTCTCCTCGCTCCCTCCTCTTTCTCCTCGTTCCCTCCTCTTTCTCCTCGTTCCCTCCTCTTTCTCCTCGTTCCCTCCTCTTTCTCCTCGCTCCCTCCCCTTTCTCCTCGCTCCCTCCCCTTTCTCCTCGCTCCCTCCCCTTTCTCCTCGCTCCTTCCGGCTCCCTGGGCGATGGAAGAGGAGTTTGCGATTGAACGAGCGGTATAGTCTTGGCACCTTGTGACAGCAAGTGTCTTTCTCTTAGGCGCCTCGAAAGCTCATTGCAAATGTCTCACAGCGAGTCCTTCTCGTTCTCTTCCCAATGCTTTGTCTCTGCTGCAGGTCTCGCGGTTGCTGGAAATGCAGTCTGAGCGATACTACAGGCTGCACTGTCAAGTGCGTCGAGGTCACAGATGATACACACACGGTAACCAATACCTAAGAACGTTTTACAGGTAATACGGTACAAGAGCAATTGGGTCAAGGTCAAGTGCCTGTACCGGTAAGTCTCATATTCTTTTGCAACAAGAAGCGCGTAGGCGATCTGTTTCCATGCATTGTGGAAGTGGAAAGCCAGTGTACGGTACTGTACTCTCATGGCCGTGTCACTATATTGGTGACAGTAATCTACCGTAGTTTTGAGACGCCTCGGATCTGTTAGTACACATTGTGGAAAGCCAGTGTATGGTACTGTACTCTCATGGCTGTGTCACTATATTGGTGACTTGCCCTACCGTACCTTCTCGGTCAACACTTACGTAGATACGGTAGGATGAGAAAATGACTTGTCAATGGCACGAAAGTCTGGAACGGAAAGATTCAAGTCAAGTCTTGTTTGGCATTCCATGGCGCTTGCAACACTGTCACCCAGTTGCGAACAGGGTACCGTATTGGGATTGCTGGCATGGCAGGACACCAAACCATTGCGTCTTAAATTCATCATACCGTAGCGTAATCCATGAGGAAAGGCTCTAGGAGTCTAGGTACAACAAACTCTTGACCAGAAATTCATACAATTATAGCACTGCCAGTTTGTCACAAGGAGGATGCTACCGGTAAATGTCTCGTCCACTCAAGCTACCGGACCTTGGTTGGCATGACACCATAGCTTGCTCATTTCACTACAATTACTACCCCCCTTTCACTGCTCAGGGATTGATGAATCAGCGCATTGAAACATAGGATTGGTGGAAGAACCAGGAGGCTTGCAGGAGGAAGGGCAGTTGGCTGAATCCCTGAATCGATCGGTACACCAGATTCAAAGCCCTATTGCCTAGGGCTACTGGATACTATTTTAGAGGCGCCTCAGAAATGGTTTAGGTTTCTGAGGAGTGATGTGCGCAAGTATTCAACGAAGCTTCGAGGGAAACGGGGCAAGTAATGTGTTTGGTTCTGGTTCAATCTACTAAAGAACGTACGAGCCCTACAGACATGCTATGGCTGTTGGAAGAGCGGAGACGCTTGGAGGAAGTGAGCGAACTGTGCGATGAGGGGTGATGTGCGCACAGGGTGACTTTTTAGTCGACTCAAAAGTCACCTATGGCTGTTGGAAGAGCGGAGACGCTTGGAGGAAGTGAGCGAATTGTGCGATGAGGGGTGATGTGCGCACAGCACCCCACGCTGCTGCTGCTCTCATTGCCCACTCCCTCTCTGTTACTGGCTCTGGGAATGGCTTCTTGTGCATGCTCAAGATCTGCCATGGAAAGACGGGGGTGGGGGGGAAAGGGGTAGGTTACAGTTACAAGAAACAGCTGGCTTACAGGTAACAGGTAGACTTGGTGGTTCCCTCGCTATCACGATCCTTTCCTCATTAGTATCAACCCACCCTCTCCAGTATCAATGCACCTTGTGCTTCAGTTGCAGCCTGTAACTATGCATGTACCTATCCCTGTGCGTTTGATATGCCCCGAAGGTGACTTGGCGGTTCCCTCGTTACTACCAAACAAACTCGTTACTATCAACCCAACTCGTCACTATCAACCCAACTCGTGACTATCAACGCACCTTGTGCTTCAGCTGCTGTCTGTAACCACTCAACGACCCCATTCCACCGCCTCCTGCCACTCTCCCCAACCCCCCTCCCCCTCCCCCGCCTCCCAACACTGCATTCACAGCAGCACCCTCCGCCCACGCCCAGGGGTCTTCTGACGGTAGCACCCAGAAGCTGACCGACCCCTCCTCCACCTCCTCCTCCTTCCCACCACCACCACCTCTACTGCCTCGCTTGCTGTCCTGCAAACCACTGCCATGCTTGCTGCTCTGCCATTCTCCACTCGCCCTCCCTCCTGCTGCTGCTCCTCCTGCTCCTCCTGCTCCTCCTGCTCCTCCTGCTCCTCCTGCTCCTCCTGCTCCTCCTGCTCCTCCATCCTCCTGCATGTGCTGTTTAGGGTTAACCCCATGAGTAGCCCCACCCTCAACCCTCTCACCATCACCATGCCCCCCTTTCAAGTACCCTACTCTTCCCCCTCTCCCTCTCCCTCCTCTCCCTCTGCTCCCTCCTCTCTCGATTCCCCTTCCCCTTCCTCTACTCCCTCTGCTTCCTCTCCCCCCCTCCTTACCAGACCCGAGCGGCAAGAGAGGAGGAGGGGCGAGAGGAGCGGAGGTGAAAGGGAGCGGCGGTGTGATGAGCCGCGAGGGTGGGGTGAGGAGTGTGGTGTGGGAGAGGAGGGAGGAGAGGTGCGAGAGGGTGGAGGAGAGATGACTGGGTGTTAAGTCCGATGGGGGTACTCTGTGGGTGGGGTTGTACAAGTGGGGTGGAAAAGGGGAGGAAGGTTGGCAGTCAGGCAGAGGAAAGAAGGTGATTCCAAAGAAACAAACAGTGGAAAAAGGTGGGGAGTGGAAAAAAGTTGGGCCATGTTGAAAGGATGGGCTTCAAAACAGAGACAAGTGGTTCTGTACAGATGGTGCTCCTCACCCCTCCTCACCCCTCCTCACCCCTCCTCACCCCTCCTCACCCCCCCTCACCCCTCTGACCTACCTGTACAAACAAGTGGCTCAGCGGGGTGAGGAAATGCAGGCTCAACAGGCTGCACTTTCCTAGTAGTCTAACAAATCACACGCAAAGCGAAGCCGAAAATCATAGCAATGCAAGGAGAGGCATCTGTGTGTGTGTGTGTGTGTGTGTGTGTGTGTGTGTGTTTGTGTGTGTGTGTTGTGCATGCAACCATGAGCAGATGGGCAAACGATGGAGAGTGAGAAACAGAGTGAGGGAGTGAGTGGGCGAGCGTCCAAGCCAGCACGCACTCAGCAGCAACACACATAATCAACCAAAACGCACCTGGCAAACACAAAGAGAGCATCGCCACTGAAGCTCTCCTCTCCCTCCTTCCCCAAAACCATCTCATCTCCCACCCAACATCCGCTCTCCCTGTGATCCCCTCCAGTAGACGGGCCAACAGCAGCCGCACCAGCACCAGCAGCACCAGCAGCAGCAGCAGCAGCTGAGGTCACAGCAGCCTTTGAAGCGCCCCAGGGGCTTTGAGATGGGGAGAGGCGCAGCATTTGAACGGTCTGGATGTACTCCCAGGTGGCACGGTCGTTTATTCCATCACACACCACGATCACCAGGTGACACACGGAGAAGAGGAACACCCCTAGCTGGGTACAGGGCAACAGGTGGGGTGGGTAGGGGAGTGGGGGATTGGGATTTGCAAGCTTGAGTGCATGTGTGTGTGTGTGTGCGTGCGAGTGTGTGAGTGTGTGTGTGTGTGTGTGTGTGCGCGCGTTTGTGTCTGTGTTTGAGTGTGTGTATGTGCGTGTGCGTGCGTGGGTGTGCACGTGTAATTGCATGGGTGTGCATGTGTAAGTGCGTGCTTGTGCGTGTGCGTGTGCGTGTGTACACACCCTTGCATTCTCCACATCCTACCAGTAGAGCATCCCAAATGAAAGAATCAACTATACAGAATAAACACCCCCGTGCTAAAAGCATCCCAATGGCTATCTCATTCCAGTGCACGAGACAGGAAGAATGGGATGGTGGATGGTGGATGGTGGATGGTGGATGGTGGATGGTGGATGCTGGATGCTGGATGCTGGATGCTGGATGCTGGATGCTGGATGCTGGATGCTGGATGCTGGATGCTGGATGCTGGATGCTGGATGGTGGATGGTGGATGGTGGATGGTGGATGGTGGATGGTGGATGGTGGATGGTGGATGGTGGATGGTGGATGGTGGATGAAGGAGGAGGGGCGAGCCAGGGATAAACCGTGCACCATTCTTAATGAGCCTTTAGCACCTTTGAAAAAACACGCTGACCTGGAGCCCCATGATGGTGTGAGCGAGCTCAGCACTGATCAGAGAAGAATCCCCAGCCTCCCCAGCATAAGCAGCAGCAGCAGCAGCAGCAGCAGCAGCAGCTTCACCATCGGCAGCAGCAGTGGCAATACAAAAAAAACAAACTTACTTGCAGACCCATGATGGTGTGTGCGAGCTCAGCATAGAAAAGTAGTTTCGACCTGGATCCAGCAGTCCTAACTCGTCCTAATCTCCTCTAGGCTGAGCTTAGGCTAGTAGGGATTGAATAGGTAAGAAATTGTCATTCAAACCTGAGCGTACGCGCGTTTCGGCTGATGGCCTTCGTCAGCGCTCTCAGAATTACAAGAAAAGACTACCCCTTATCTACTCCCATCTACCGTGCCTAGCACTCAACCAAGAAACAAAGTCCAGTGCGGCTCGTCATTGCGGCTCGCTAGCTGGCATATGACCCTCCCACGGATGTTAGTGTGTTGGCGCTTGCCAAAGAGGGTACGCAACCTCTTGGTGAAAGCGAGGCTTCAGAAACGGGGATACACTACCCCCGTGACTTGATGGGATTGAATTCATCCCACCACCTTGCATGCTGAAAAACAAACTTACTTGCAGACCCATGATGGTGTGAGCGAGCTCAGCACTGATCAGAGAAGAATCGCCCGCCTCCCCCGCATAAGCAGCAGCAGCAGCATCACCATCGGCAGTGGCGGCGGCGGCGGCATGAGGAGGACGAGGAGGGACGATGTCGATACTGGCCGTTCCGTCAGCACGCGTGACGTCTAGCAGGAGAGAGGCGCTGTTGATGGGCTGATGGCAGGGTGGTGGGGGGATGGGGAAGCAGGGGGAACAAGGGAACGGGGAGGAGTGGAAGATAGTGGAACATGGAGGGATGATGCCGATACTGGCGGTTCCATCTGCACGGGCGACGTTCAGGAGGAGAGAGGCGCTGCTGATGGGCTGATGGCAGGGTGGTGGGAACGGGGGGGAGTGGACGGACGATTGAGGCGGAAAAAGGGATTAAAGGGGTACCGGTGAAGGGGTTAACAAAGGATAACTGGGATGAGGGTGAAGGGGTGAGGAAAAAGGGGCGATCTGAGTCCGGGCCGGGATGGAGATTTCAGAAAAGTGGATGATATTTTTGAGAATTCTCGAAGGAGTGGGTGATATTGGAAGAAGGAGTGGACTAGCTCCCTCATTGTGCTGTGCTGATTCTGAACACAATAATAATTTGAACTTTATTGTCCACATCAGAACGACCAATAGGTTCGGGATTGTCCACACCACTTATCACACATGACACATGACACATGACACACATCGCACACCCCAAACCGCACTTCACACTGTGTTTCTATATATATTTTCAATGCATTTAACACACGCCCAGCCGCTCACACTCACACCCACATCTCACCCACCCCACCCCCCTTTCATGCGAATGCATCACACACACACAGATGCCCCTCCTCCGTCCCCGCCCCCTCTCCCCACCCACCCACCCACCCACCTGCGTGTCTATGAGCAGCAGTCTATCCATGGTCACATGCGCCTCCACGCCACTGCTGCAGTGCCGCCCTGCCAACACCTGCTCCTCGCCCCCCACCGCAAACACCCCCCCCAGGGGCCCTGGGGAAACCCCGCAAGAGCAGAGGGAGAGAGGAACGGGAAAGGCTGCTGAGGCATGACAAAGGGCGCAAACAAAACACCACCCCACCCCACCCCACCCAGGGGGAACAAACAAAGTCACTCTCTTCTAAGAGCAGAGGAGTGGAGAGGTGGAACGGGAAGGGCTTGAGACGGGGGAAAGGCTTTTGTGACGCATCAAAGGCGTGGGAGAAAGGAGGACGCTCACCAGAAGCGGCATGGGTGGGGATGTGAGCAGTAGCAAGGACAGAGAGGGGAGAGGAGGGGCGGGAAGAAATGGGCTTGCGGCATGGGCTCACCAGCAGCAGTGCGCTCACCAGCAGCAGCGGCATGTGCGGGGATGTGTGCGGCAGCAAGTGCGTTGAGAAGCGATGACTTGCCGAGGGAGGGCGGTCCCAGCACCGCCAGCACTGTGAAGTCCGTGTTGTCTGAAAGAGCCTGGGACGAAAAGGGGAGGTGTGGGGAGCGGGAGAGGGAGGGGAGACCCTGTTGAGCGAGGGGAACTGACGAGGAGAGAGGGAGGGAGGACCCTGCACTGCCAGCACAGCACTGCCAGCACAGCACTGCCAGCACAGCACTGCCAGCACTGTGAAGTCCGTGCCATGTGTCTGAGAGCGCCTGGTAGGGAGGGCGTGGAGGGGGGAAAATGGGAAAAAAGGGAAAGGGAACGGGGAGAAAGGCGAAACCGTGTTGTTCAAGAGGTTCTGATGGGGAGAGAGAGGAAGTGAGGACCCACCACTGCCAGCACTGTTAAGTCCGTGTTTTGTGAAAGAGCCTGGTGGGAGGGGCGGGCGGAAAGGAGGGAGAGGGGGAGGGAGTGGGGGTGGGAGAGGGGGAGGGGGAGGGGAAAGGGAAGGGGGAGGGGAGACCGTGGTGTCTGAGAGAGGCTGGGGGAGAGGAGAGGGGTGTGTGCGTGGGAGAGAGGGAAGGAGACGCACATTGCGATCGCACCTAGTTCATGCGAGAACTCACCTGAGTACCTGCCACCTGCACCAGTCGTCACCTGCACCAGTCGTCACCTGCACCAGTCGTCACCTGCACCAGTCGTCACCTGCACCAGTCGTCACCTGCACCAGTCGTCACCTGCACCAGTCGTCACCTGCACCAGTCGTCACCTGCACCAGTCGTCACCTGCACCAGTCGTCACCTGCACCAGTCGTCACCTGCACGAGTCGTCACCTGCACCAGTCGTCACCTGAACCAGTCATCACCTGCACCAGTCATCACCTGCACCAGTCATCACCTGCACCAGTCATCACCTGCACCAGTCATCACCTGCACCAGTCGTCACCTGCAGAAGCCGCTCAGGTGTGAACTCCCACGCAGCATTCACCAGAGTCACACTCGCACTCGCAGCAACGGGGGCTGCTGTGGATGAGGAAGTGGAGGAGGAGGACGGTAACCCAGGGACAGACGCAACTGCTGCTCCTACTGCCCCTGCCCCTGCCACTGCTCCCTCTGCTGTTGCTCCTCCTCCTCCTGCTGCTGCCGCCCCTGATCCTGATGGTACTAGGGAGGGCGATGCTGCTGCTGTTGCTCGTGTGCCTATTCCTCCTGATCCCAGCCTGTCACGTCTCTCCGAACTCCCCACGCCCCCTCCTCGTTCTCCTCCTCCTGCTCCTGATCCCCTTGCACTTCTCTCACCGCCCCTCCCTCCCCTTCTTTCCCCTCCCTCCGCCCCTCCCCCTCCCCCTCCCCCTCCCCCTCCCCCTCCCCCTCCCCCTCCCCGTGCCCCTATCCCTCCCCTCCCTTCTCCGCCTGCGCTCAGCAACTCCTCTGCGCCTAATAATCCCCCAGTTTCATTTCTTCCCCCCCTCCCCTCTCCGTCCGCACCTGCCCCCGCTGCCCCCGCGCCTCCCCCCGCCCTGTCATCTCTTAGAATGCGCACAGCGCCTCCACTCCCCCCCGCGCTTGCTCCCCCGGTCCCCCCTGCGCTGTACCCTCCCGCGCCTCCGCCATAACCCCCGCCATGCGCCCTCCCCGTGCCGTGCGCAAAGCCTCCTACAGCTCCGCCGCCGCCGGTCCCGCCGCCAATTGCGGCGGGATTTCCAGCTCCACTCGTACTCGCAGCGCCAGCATACTGACTAACGTACGGCAAAATGCCACTAGCCGTTAAAATCCCAGGTCGCGCGATCGACACTTGCGGAGCCGCGCCTGTGCTGTGGCGGAAAGCGTCTGCGGGGGACGGGAAGGGGGAGGCGGAGGCTTTGCCGTCCCCCACGCTCGCGGGCGGAGATGCGCGGAAATTTCCCGGAGCACCAGCGGCGGTGCTGGGCGGAAGCGGTCGTTCGGAAGCGCCGCTAGCGGACGATTGCGCGTCCGAAGCGGCGCGATTTGCGGGTGACGGTTTGGCAAGGAGTATGCGCGGCGGCATGGCGGAAGGATTTTTTTTGTACAGAATCGTTTAGTGGCAATGAATGTGTTATCGGTGCCAGAATTGTTGATAAGCTGTGCTACACGCGAGTCGGGCTATAGAGCATTATAATAACTTATGAAACATGCAATAATTATATCAATAAATTAATCAAACATTGAAAGGCCATAATCACAATAACAGACTCAGTATTCCTAACCTTTTCTAAGGCCAACAAAATACAAGCCTGAAAGCAGCACACCATCCACTTCAACTCCCGCTTTAATGCTCTCATCAATGTCGTGAAGCGGTACTAGGCATGTGTGCATCAGTGTCTCTGTGCCTTCTCTTGCCGTTGCTCTTCTACGCTCGTCTTCGTTGATCCGTACATGCACAAACAACACCTGCCAGCCACGCCACCAAGCCACGCCAAGCACCACAAGGAAAGAAAATGATTTTCTAGACAGCAAGATTTTAGGCTTGAGTTGAGCGGAGTAGGTAGGGTACTCTCATCATTCACATCGTAGCGGTAGGGTACACTGCTACGGTATCTTCATTGCAGAGGAGCCGAGGATCGAGAGACCCCAGCTCACACCCCTCTCTTATTCATCCCAACCGCACCCCACCCCTCTTACCTTCTGCTGCCACACCCCAGGGAGTGAGCGGCACGAGCCTATGACCTCTGCCCCTTTTCCCACAAACCCTGTCTCCTCTTCAAGCTCCCGCACTGCCGCCTGCAGGAGTTAGGGTGGAGACAAACGGCATGTGGGTGCACGAGTGGATGAAAGGGCAGCGTGTACCAAGCGAAGAGAGAACAGCACATTGACCCCCCCCCTCATAAACCCTGTCTCCTCATCAAGCTCTCGCACTGCTGCCTGCAGCAGAAGGTGAGGAGACAAGTGGCATGTGAGTGCACGAGTGGATGAAAGGGCAGCGTGTACACAGCATGGGAAGGAAGGAGTGAGTAGAGTGAGTAGCGGGCCCATAGAGAAAGCATCACAGCACGTTGCTTGCCCCCTACGCGACAAACCCTGTCTCCTCCTGAAGCTCCCGCACTGCCGCCTGCAGCAGAAGGTGAGTGAGCAGAGGAGCATGTGAGCGGGATGTGCATGGACGAGTGGCATGGCACGTGGAAGGCTGGTGGAAGAAAAGGCCATGGAAAGGGAGTGCAAAGGGAGTGGAAAGGGTGAGATCATGAAGAAGAGCATGAGACAGAACACGTAACATGGGCGGTGGTGAAGCATCAGCAGGGCGGGCAACTGACGGTTGACCCTCCTCCTCCCTCTCTGCCTTGCTGCCTGCTGCCTTGCTGTCTGTCCTTGCTGCGTGCTGATGGAAGCTCACCTGCTCCGGCGTCTCCCCTGCATCCATCACCCCCCCTCGCAGACCCAGCACGTATGCCCCCAATGCATGCCGGTACTCATTTTGAAGCGCCTCTAAAACTGCCCGTGGCAGCGCCCTCCTCCTCACCTGCTCTGGCGTTTCCCCTGCATCCATCACTTTTCCTGGCAGATGTGTTTTGATTCGACTCAAGAGACACACCTGCTGCCCGTGGCAGCGCCCTCCTCACCTGCTCCGGCGTCTCCCCTGCATCCATCACTCCCCCCGGCAGACTCAGCACGTACGCACCCACTGCATGCCGGTACTCTGGGTTATGGCAGAGAGGATGGAACGTGGAAGAGGAAGAGTGGAAGGGGGAAGGGGAAGGAGCTGGATAGGTCGGTGGGTACGTGCTGGGCATGGGCATGGGTATGTGCATGGACATGGGCATATGAATGTGCATGTGCGTGTGCATAGATGCGGTTTAAATGGGTTTTACATGTGTTGCTGTGCAGCTGACCTTGATTCACCACCACCTTGTTCTCAACAGTCATGGCGACCTGATGGGTGCAGTGCGGTGTGTGGGAGGGACGAGGAGTGGGGGGTTGTGAAAGAACGGAGGGACACGGAAAGATGGAGGGATGAGGAGGTGGGGGAGGGAGTGGGAAAGGCATGGGTGCTGAGCATACATCCCGTGTGCTCAACACCCTTACGGATGCGGACAGTCTGACTGCATATATAACGGGACAAGTGGACAAGACAGGACAAGTCAAAGAACAAGTCGTAACGGGAAGGCAACACAACGGAACTAAGTGGTGGAACATAGAAGACAGGACAAGTCGAAGGTGTGCTAGGATGATGAATGATGAATCACAGTGCCATGTCATTCACCGTCTCGACTCGCAACTCAACCAGTGCACTGCACACACTCGCACGTGAGCAACCCCCAACCGCAAAGAGTGTGCACTGGGAGTTTGTGTAAAAAAGCAGAGCGAGCAGGAAGAGGGCCGGTGAGATGAGACAAGGTGCTTACCACAGCAACGGCAAGAGGGCGGGCAAACACTGTGAGGTAGGGAGAGGAGAGGCCGGAGGGGAGGGCGAGAACGTCTCTGCGCACACTCTGCTCTGCGCGTGGGGGGAGGTGGTGGGGTGGGGGGGGCGGGAATGGGGGGGTGGGAGAGAGAGTGGAGGGGGGAGAGGGTGGGGAGAGGAGGGGAGCGGGATGCAGGATGTGCAGGGGAGCGCGAACAGGGAAGAGAGAAAGGAAAGAGTTTGAGGAATGCATGCTCAGGTCGTGGGTTTAACTCGTGCTCACGGTTTCACACATACGTGGGGGGCTTGAGAGAGATGCTGAAGAGAGACACATGCAGGGTAGGTGAGGAAAAACGGGAAATTCACACTAGTGCTGTTCTGTTCCTTCCATAGTGCCTTTTGAGTAACAGGTGCAGGGTAGGCCACTCAGAAGTCACCTCCTTCTAAGAGCTACCTCCTTCTAAAAAAAATATATAAACAACATGATTGCACGCACCCCCATTCACCCACATAATAACCCCCCACCCACCTCCATCCATCCCCAACCCCACCGCTCTCCACCCCCTCACCAGGAAGTCTTTAAGAATCACTGTTGACTCCACCACACGCGGCACGGGCCACGCCGCTTGCTCCGCGTCCGCGTTCCGCCATGCACTCCCGCCGTGCCCCATCTCCCCCGTCTCCCCATCGCGCATCCCTCCTTCCCCCTCCCTTTTCTCCAACTCCCAGTTCGCCTCGCCGATCCTTATCCCTCCCAACCTCTCTCCACTGCCCCGCTCCGCCTTCCGCTCCGCCTCCCGCCCCGCCTTCTGCCCTGCCCCCCCCGAGCTCCCCGCGTCAGCATCGTCGTCCGCGCGTGCTGCACTGCAGACAACCAGAGCCGCCCGCCGAATTCGTCGCGAATTACTCTCGTTCTGAAAACCTAAACATTCGTCCTTCGCGATTCGGGTTCGGTTGCAAGCGCCGCCTACACTGACATGATTGGGCCACGTGGAGTGGTAACCACCAGCAGTGTAACCGCGAGAGGCGAGGCGTAACCTACAGGCTGGAGCGGGTCGGGAAGAAAAATCGCGGCGGAGGCATTGACGTGGCGACTCGGGAGCTTGGCAGTACGAGGGGCGAGGCGGACAGAAGGCAGCCATAGGTGCTGCTGGGTGGCAAAGCGGCAATGAGAGGAGAGCTCTGAATCGGAAAATTACAGTTTTGCGGTTGACTCGATTGCAACACCTCCTGGTTCTATATTATATGCAGGCTTAAATGAGCGCAATTCCAGGATTTAAATACTGAAATAGCTTCTTACTCCACTAAAATGTGTTGACAAATGACAAAAAAATGTTTTTTCAAAACACCATATACAACAAAATAACGAGCAACGCTCTTTCCACAACATCCACCAAAAATGAAAACAAGCTCACAAATACTTTCACTAGCAGGTACCGTATTACTAGCACTTGATTCCTCTTATCAGGCATCCAAGGTCCGCTCGTAGTCCTCTATCGATTTGAACAGCTCTGAGAAATTACCCTTGCCAAACCCCCCGCAGCCTCCCTTCTGCAGCAGGGTGCCGTCTGGACCCGGGTACATGCACCCCACACGCTGTATGATCTCCAGGAACAGTGTGGGCCTGCCAAAGAGAGGGGGTACGTAAGTGGTGAAGGGGGTGGACAGAGAAAAGTGAGGACTTGAGCGGAGTGGGGTGCGATTGCGAGGGAGAAGTGGAAACAGAGGGGGGAAAAGAGGCAGAGCAAAGAGGCTAGAAAGGATAGGAAGGAAGAAAACAATCATAGCAGATTGCACACAGCATAGCAACCTTGATCATCCCGTGCAGCCTTGATCGCCCCCAGCCTGCAGCACGCCCCCACCACTCCACCACCCATCCCTCTGGCTCACCTATCGCCCACAGGCCGCGTGAAAATCTGCAGCAGCACGCCTTGATCGTCCCTATCCACCAGCACCCCCAGCGTCTCACAATCCTTTATAAGCTTCTCCGACAGCCCGCTATCCGGCCCAATCCGCTTCGGCAGCTCCTTATAATAATTCGCCGACGGCCGCGGCATGAAGTCGAACCCCCCCAGCTCCGTCCGCGCACGCATCTCCTGAAGCGTCGCGATGATATCCGTGCACGAGAGCGCGAGATGCTGCAATCCTGGCCCTTCGTTGTGCTCCAGGTAGGTCTGAATCTGCGATTTCCGCGGCGTCCCAAACGTCGGCTCGTTGATCGGAAACAGCACATTCTCCGCGTTATTCGCAAGCACCATGGAGTTCAGCCCACTATCCAGCGTCCCCACGTCCGCAGCCACAAACTCCGCGAATTCATGGAACCCCGTGAAGTTCAGAATATGCCGAACAGCGTCTAGGAGCTTGGGAACGTTGCCAACAGCGTGGTCAAGACGGGTGAGGCCGTAGGAGGAAACGGCGTTGGAGGCTGGTGCGTAGTTGGGGAGGAAAGGGCCGGAGTAGGAGGGGTGCTGGGCGACGTATCGCAACACCACGTCGCCGTATAGAGCCACTTCGGATATAGTCACGGACCCGCCGTCCTTGCTGGATTGGGAGAGTGTGGGGAAGTGGGAGAGGTTGAAAAAAACGGTTAGAGTGGGTGCAGGAGGAGAGGCGGTGGGGAGAGGTTGGAGAGAGAGGAACGGGAGTAAGGAAGGGGAGAGATGGGAAAGTTGGTGTTAAAGGTGATAGTTAGGGAAGAGGAGGGGGAAGGGTGGCGAAGGCGTGGTGAGGGGGTGCCGGGGAGAGGAGGAGGAGGGGGGAGCAGAGAGTGAGAGGGGGAGGGGGAGGGGGAAGAGGGAGGGGGAAGGGGGGTTGCGTGGGAAAGGGGAGGAGATAGGAAAAGAAGGTTCATGAGGCATGTTCATGTGTGACGGCTGGGACTGGAAGCCCAGGAAACGCATAGGTTGAGTAGCTCAGAGATGTTTTTTTCCCACGCAAGATTACCCATGCAGGATTGAGTTGGTGTCTGTTCGGATTGTTTCCAGCTCAGCTGGGCTTAGTTCATACAACTTAATCTCCAATTCAAGACCGACGTCGCCAACGTCGCCACACAGAAAACAGGCACCCAGGCACGCAGTCCAAGAGCAACCAAATCTCCCCCCTTATCTGTTCTCACCTGTCCACCAGCTTCGTCGGCGGCACCACGCCCGTCGCGCCGTTCGCCACGCTCATCTCATACGCCGCCTGCGCGTCCGTCACTTTCACCCCCACGGCGCGCACCGCCAGCCCGTGCCGCGCGAAGAACTCCGTCGCCTGCTGCCGCTCAAACCACGGCATCGGCGCGCCGTTCGTCGCCGCCGCCGCCGCCGCCGCCGGCGTCGTCCCCGCCGCGTGGTCGCCGTACGGCGCGGAGAAGACAAACACGAGATCGTTCGATTTGAGAGCGTAGCTGCAGTACGTCGGGTTACCCGTCGTGAGGTCGGATTTCGCGACGAGCGGCATGCCGAGGCCCCACGAGAAGCGGCCGGACGTGCTGGTCGCGTCGCCGCACCAGAACTCGATGTGGTGGAAATCCAGCACCTCGAAGCGGTCCGTCTTGGGGTTATGGCGCTTGAAGTTTGAAAAGCCCACCAGTTGGTCCGGCAGCGAGACTCCGCGCTCCGCCATGGCGAGAGACCAACGAGACGTCCGGGGAGAGGAGGTGGAGGAGGACGGTGGTGAGGGCGAGGGCGAACAACGGTGAGGAGATGAAACGAGTGGGAGATGAGCGAGCGTGCGAAGGCGAAAGGTGGAGCGAGCGTGCGGCAGGTGTAACGACGCAAGGCGAGGCGAGGAGGAGCCTGCGCCTGAAGGAGACGAGAAAAGGCTGGCACGTGAGAAACGCGCGAACTGCAGATAAATCAAGCTTTGGCTGATAGTCTGAACCGAATTTGGAATCTTGAAGCTGCAGCTTGCGCGAATGCCAAGTGACCGACCGAATTAGCTCAGATAAAGGCTTGAGTGTCTGCAGCAAAAGACGAAATGGAAATCCCTATGTTGATGCTGCTGGTGTTGCATACACTGGTTCGGCTGGTTTGGCTGGCTCGGCAGACTGGTCCGGTTCGTAAAATTTCCCAAGCACGCCTTCATCAAGCCAGTCCCAGACCTCATGAGCACAATGTCGAGAGTAACGCACAATCGCCCCCTTTTCGAATGGATGCCCATCGCGAAACATTTGGGAACAGAGCTGGTCGAGCAATTTCGTGTGACCGTTTCGCTGCAGTCTCCTTGGCAGCTCAACTCCGAACCAGAAACCTGGCTCGGTTCGCCCAAACCAGAATACCAGCGACTAAGCGCCAGACCAAACCACATTTCGACAGACTCGAGGCGGCTCTATATCTCGAAAGGGACAGCGCATACGAAGGTAGACGACACGTGCCAACAGCTGGATGGCTTTCGAGCACCTGGAGGATGATGTGGTTCACGCCCGAGCCTCTACCTGTTGTGCTTGGAGATCCCTCCATGCTGACGCATGGCCACGCTGTGGATTCCTGACGCTGTAGAAGGTTCACCGACAGGTGGGATTTGATGAAGCGCCAGACCTATGAACACTTGCCGACAAATCCCGATTTAGAAATGTACTGAACAAGATCGGCTAAACACTCCTGCAGCCGGTCTTTCATGAAACATATTAAAACCCGTTCCAATTCAAAACAAGAGCATTTGGCCGAGTGGTTAAGGCGTGTGCCTGCTAAGTACATGGGCTATGCCCGCGAGAGTTCGAATCTCTCAGTGCTCGTAGCTCCGAGCTTTTGTTTTTGTGTGTGCATTTGTGTTTCCTTTGCGTCACCTGCTTCCCCCCTCCCTCCTCCCTGCTTCCCCCCTCCCTCCTCCCTGCTTCCCCCCTCCCTCCTCCCTGCTTCCCCCCTCCCTCCTCCCTGCTTCCCCCCTCCCTCCTCCCTGCTTCCCCCCTCCCTCCTCCCTGCTTCCCCCCTCCCTCCTCCCTGCTTCCCCCCTCCCTCCTCCCTGCTTTCCCCCTCCCTCCTCCCTGCTTCCCCCCTCCATCCCCCTCCATCCCCCCTGCTTCCACCTTCCCTCCGCCCTGCTTTCCCCCTCCCTCTGCCCTGCTCCCCCCCTCCCTCCGTCCTGCTCCCCCCCTCCCTCCGTCCTGCTTCCCCCCTCCCTCTGCCCTGCTTCCCCCCTCCTTCTGCCATGCTTCCCCCCTCCCTCCGCCCTGCTTCCCCCCTCCCTCCGCCCTGCTTCCCCCCTCCTTCTGCCATGCTTCCCCCCTCCCTCCGCCCTGCTTCCCCCCTCCCTCCGCCCTGCTTTCCCCCTCCCTCTGCCCTGCTCCCCCCCTCCCTCCGTCCTGCTTCCCCCCTCCCTCTGCCCTGCTTCTCCCTCATCTTCCCCCTCTCCCCTCATCTTCCCCCTCTCCCGTCTGTCCCCACCCCAACCTCGCCCGTTTCCCGCTTCGCCCCACTCTCAGGGAATGGCAGGCATGAGCTGCGCATGCCGTGTCTGCCCCCTGTCCGTGTCGCAGACGTGGCGCCCATGACGCCATGGCCACGTCACCTCTGCTTTTGGCAGCAAAGCAAGCCACGCCGTGGCTGGTTCGTCTCGCATCTCTGCCTGCACGCGCACTGGGGCTGCCCACCCACCTCCGCCACCACCGCTGCAGCAGGCGGCGCCACATCAGGTGCCGCCATGCCTCATCATGCTTCACATGCTAACGCTGCAGGGGCAGGTGCAGGTGGAGGTGGGTTTTTGAGGCATGCATGCACACAAGCACAATCCCCATATCCCCCGTATCCTGCCTCCATATCCCAGGGTTCACCCCTGCATGCCTCGCTTGCCTCGCCTTCCTTTCCTGCCTTCACACCTTTCGTCCTTGTGTTCCCATCTCTCGTCCCTTTGTTTCCACTTCAAGCAGGACTAGTTCGGGTTCAGTGGAGTTTGGCAGCGTAGAGGGAGCAGCAGCAGGCACAAGAAAGTGTTGAGCGAACACTAAACAGCTAGAGTTGGACAACCCTCACATTTCTCTTGAAATGTGTAGAACATAATTTACAGGTTGCACCCATAAATGTTGTGCCTAGTTGCATCATGTGACAATGCTTTATCCAGAGATGGAAAAGAAACTATTGCAAGGTCCAGATGTTATCTACGTCATCAAATTTTGCATGCATTGAGCATCTTGAATAAACTGATGTAATATGCTATCGGATCGTTTGATTGATACAATAATGCCACAAACAAGCTGGAGCCCCCCTCTACTTATTTGGTTCGACCAAGCTGCAAAGAGCACCACTCATGAACAAGAACACGAGGGCTGGATGTCCTTTCTGTTGTGCTGTCAAGGCTAAAAAAACCAGAAAGGAGAGGAGAAACAGGGGGTAAACTGGAGGGGAAGGAGGGGTGAGCAGGGGGGAGGATGGCGAGCACGAGGAAAGGAAGAGTAAGGAAGGGGGGACCGTAATGGACCGCAGGGGGGAGAATGAGGGGAAGCAGGGGGGGGAATGAGGGGAAGCACGGGAGGAAATGCGGGGGAAGCAGGGGGGGGAATGAGGGGAAGAAAGGGGGTAAAGTAAATGAGGGGAAGCAAGGGAGGAAAGGCGGGACGGAGAGGAAGGGGGGAAGTGCGGAAGAGAGGAAGAGAGCAAGAGAGGAGATTAGACGAGGGAGGGAACAAGGGGCTAGAAGAGAGGGAACAGGGGGCTAGTATGGGAGAAGCAAGGGGCTAGTAGAGAGGGAACAGTGGGCTAGCATGGGAGAAGCAAGGGGCTAGAAGAGAGGGAACATGGGGCTAGTATGGGAGAAGCAAGGGGCTAGCAGGGGGGTAAACGAGGGGATAGGAGAGGGGGAAGAGGAGGAGGAGATAGGAAGAGGGGGTGGAGGAGAAAAGGGGAGAGAAGGATTCGGGGGGATAGGGAAGATGGGAGAGGGAGGGGAGGAGATTGGACGAGGGAGGAGAGGGGAGGGAGGGGGTTGGACAAGGGAGGAGAGGGAAGGGAGGAGAGGAACAGGGGCAAGCAGCAGGGGAAAATGAAGGAAAGGAGAGGGAGAAAAGAGGGGAAGCAGGGGGGAAAAGGAGGGGAAGCAGGGGGGAAAAGGAGGGGAAGCAGGGGGGGAAAGGAGGGGAAGCAAGGGGGGAAAGGAGGGGGAGCAGGGGGGGGAAGGAGGGGAAGCAAATGGGGAAAGGAGGCGAAGGGGGGAAAGGAGGGGAATCAGGGGGGGAAAGGAGGGAAAGCAGGGGTGGAAAGGAGGGGAAGCAAGGGGGCAAAGGAGGGGAAGCAGGGGGGGAAAGGAGAGGAAGCAGGGGGGGAAAGGAGGGGAAGAAAGGGGGAAAAGGAGGCGAAGGAAGGGGGAAAAGGAGGGGAAGAAGGAGAAAAAAGGAGGGGACGCAAGGGGGGAAGGGAGGGGAAGCAGGGTGGGAAAGGGGGGGAAGCAGGGGGGGAAAGGAGGGGACGCAAGGGGGGAAAGGAGGGGAAGCAAGGGGGGAAAGGAGGCGAAGGAAGGGGGGAAAGGAGGGGAATCAGGGGGGGGAAGGAGGGGAAGCAAGGGGGGAAAGGAGGGGATGCAAGGGGGGAAAGGAGGGGAATCAGGGGGGGAATGGAGGGGAATGAACTGGGGAAAGGAGGGGAATCGGGGGAACCCGCGCCTCATCCCCTTCCTCGTCATCCCCTTCCGCGCCTCATCCCCTTCCGCGCTTCCCTTCTGCGCGTCATCCCTTTCCGCGCCTCATCCCCTTCCACGCCCCATCCCCTTCCGCGCGTTATCCCCTTCCGCGCCTTATAACCCTCTGTCCGTGAGCAACGCGCGCCTCAGCGCGATAAGGAGCGGGCAGCGCGCCAATGCGCCGGCCGCAGATCACATCACACGCGGAGCATCTCTCCTGTCGCGCGCCAAGCCTTGATTTTCTTTCCCCCCCTTTCCCCCTTCCACCCCCAGTATCTGCTCCTCCTCTCCTCCGCCCCCTTCCACCCCCAGTATCTGCTCCTCCTCTCCTCCGCCGTCTGGCGTTGCGTCTGCCGCAAGTTGCGCCAGCGGACAGCTCTCCCATCGCGCGATCAGAACCGATTTCCCCCGCCTACGCAGTCTTTCCTCCGCCTCTCCCCTCCCTCTCCGCCTTCCGCCGTCCCCGTGTCGAGTCGCCGCAGTACTCCCATATCGCGCTGTGTCGCGCTCTTCTCAACGTTCCTTCCATCGACCCCGCATGTACATGTTATGGCACGTCACCTACGTTTGAACGTTCTGTTGTTGTTAGCTACTGCGGTTATTTCACACGTGAAGTAGTTAGCTTGTTTGATCGTGGTGTTTTCTTACCCTCACTCATTCTGAGGCTGTTGGTGCTTTCCGTTTTCGTTTTAGCTGGTAGTTGCATTGGCCCTGTTCGCCAGCACATGTGATTTTTAAAGAAATCTGACGGCATCGGAATGGCAACGGAATCAGGAACCGGCGGCGGAACCCGCCGAATAGGTTTGGTCGGAATGGTGCCTTCGCTCGCGCCATAAATGGGAAACGTGGCAACGGGATCAGGAACCACGCTCCCCACCTTCCGCCTCCTGTCACAGCCAACCAATCCCATCGCCATCCCTTGGCTATTCCCTGTGAAGTGGTGAATGGCGACGGGATGGCATGGTGCGGGGAGGTTGCTTGGTGTCAAATGTTAGTCCGTGCGTCCTACCCTAGCCCGTCGCGTAGCCCGTGCGTCCTACCCTAGCCCGTCGCGTAGCCCGTGCGCCCTGCCCCAGCCCGTCGCGTAGCCCGTGCGTCCTACCCTAGCCCGTCGCGTCGCCCGTGCGCCCTGCCCCAGCCCGTCGCGTCGCCCGTGCGCCCTGCCCCAGCCCGTCGCGTAGCCCGTGCGCCTTGCCCCAGCCGTCGCGTAGCCCGTGCGCCCTACCCTAGCCCGTCGCGTAGCCCGTGCGCCCTGCCCCAGCCCGTCGCGTCGCCCGTGCGCCCTGCCTCAGCCCATCGCGTCGCCCGTGCAGAGCAACGCGCGCCCCTGCAGTGCAGCGCGCGCCCACGCACAGGGCAGCGCGCGCCCTAGCAGAGCAGCGCGCGCCACCCGGGCATAGCAGCGCGCGCCCCTGCCTAGGAACGCGCGCCCCTGGCCAGACATGCGCGCCCCAGCACCTCACGTACCTTCCTAGCCGCCCACACCTCCTCCTTGCCGCCCACAACTCCTCCTAGCCGCCCACACCTCCTCCTAGCCGCCCACACCTCCTCCTAGCCGCCCACACCTCCTCCTAGCCGCCCACACCTCCTCCTAGCCGCCCATACCTCCTCCTAGCCGCCCACACCTCCTTCTAGCCGCCCACTGGCACCTCTCGCAGCGGCTGGCACCTCTAGCGCGCCACGGCCCGTAGCAGGCCGTTCTCGGATTTTCTCACCGTCGGTTTTCCCGTTCTCTACTGTTCCTTCACTGGGTTCACCGTTCCGCCGCGGCTGCTGACCGCTACTCCTCGCCTAGTCTCACCTGGAGCTCCTAGTTGTTCTCGCTCCTCGCTCCAGCCGCTCCTCGAGCCCGTAGTTTCTAGCCTGCCGTTTCTAGCTCCGGCCGTGTCTCACTCCAGCCGTTCCTGCTCCAGTCGCTTCTAGCTTAGTTTGCTCCGTGCTCCGACCGTTCCTTGCCTAGTTTCACCATGGCGTCCACTAGAGTTCTCCAGCAGCAGGGACAGCAGCAGCGGCAGTTTCAGCAGTGGGAACCTCAGCAGCAGTGGCGCCCTCAGCAGCAGTGGCACCCTCAGCAGCAGTGGCGCCCTCAGCAGCAGTGGCGCCCTCAGCAGCAGTGGCGCCCTCAGCAGCCGTGGGGCCCTGGTGGTTCGGGTAGCGTTGGCTGCGGCAGCGGCCCAACCAGCTGGGGGGCTCGTCGCGGTGGTCGCGACGTCGGCCCCTGCCAGTACCGGATCCTGACTGGCCCTGGTGCTGGCACTACCTGCTGGCGTCCTGACCACTCTGCACACCGCTTCTACAGTCGCCTCGACGACCTTTACCGTGAGCGTTTTGGGTATGAGTCGAGGCCACCGATCTGGCCCGGTCTGTCTCGTAGTGGTTACCCTGTGTTTGATATGTCTATGGACGCTGTTTATTCTGTCACGTATGGGTATCTTGGCTTGCGTGTACCCAGCTTAGGCTCTTTGCCTGTTGCTAGTGTAGGTACTTGTGCTTTTAGTGTAGGTGCTTGTGTAGTCACTAGTCCATCCGTGACGACTGCTGTCGCGTCGCTCTCCTTCACGCTGGACTCAGGCGCGTCACAGTGCTTCTTCCGCGACCACACCACTGTCACACCTCTTTCGGCTCCAGTCCCAGTTGCCCTGGCTGATCCTAGTTCAGGACCAGCAGTCGCTCGCAGCTCGACCACTCTCCCGTGCCCGGCTGTCCCTTCTGGTTTCCTCACTGGTCTCTACATCCCCTCGTTCTCTTGGAACTTGGTGGGTGTTGGATACCTTCAGGAAAGTGGGATCACAGTCACTTTTCCTGCGCACGGGAGGACGGCGATCTGTACTGACGCTTCCACCGGGGCACTTCTTGCCACGTTCACCAGGGAGCCCCACTCAGGTCTCTTTGTTCTGCACACTACGTCCTCCCAGGTAGCAGAGTCCGGCCAGGTGACTGCGTCCCCCCAGGTAGCAGAGTCCGGTCAGGTTACTGCGTCCCCTCCGGTTGCTGTGTCTAGTCAAGTTGCTGCGGCTGGTCAGGTTGCTGCGTCTTGCTCCTGTCGGTCTCTCGCCCACCTGACCGTCTTGTGGCACCACCGTCTTGGCCACCCGTCGATCCCCCGCCTCCGCAGCATGGCTAGTCACAGTCTTGTCTTAGGTCTCCTGCGCGTCTTTCTGTCGCTCCTTCCCTCGCTTGCTCCACCTTGCACTCCTTGCGTCGCCGGCCGCCTGCGCGCCACTCTGCACTCCTCCTCTCTTCATCCGGCCACTGCTCCCTTCCAGACTCTCTACTTGGACATCTGGGGCCCTGCCCCCACGCTGGGACCTGAGAGGGAGCGCTACTTTCTAGTGGTCGTTGACGACTACTCTAGGTACACCACGGTGTTTCCTCTCGCGAAGAAGTCCGAGGTGACTTCTACGCTGATCCGGTGGCTTCTGGCCACTGAGGGCACTCGTGGTAGTCGTGTCCGTTGTTTCCACTCCGACCGTGGGGGTGAGTTTCGCTCCGGCGTCCTTGCCGGGTTCTGCGGCGAGCAGGGCATCAGACAGTCCTGGACGCTGCCTGAGTCCCCACAGCAGAATGGGGTTGCTGAGCGCCGCATTGGCTTGGTCATGGACATCGCCCGCACGTCCATGACGCGCGCACCAGCTGAACCTCCAGCCGCGTGTCTCGCGGCCAGAGGTTTCACCAACCAGTCTTTGGACTGGGTCCCCTGGTGTTGGGTCGGCCTTTCACGTCTGGGGCTGCCTTGCGCTTGTCCGCGACACCTCTGCGGACAAGCTCTCGGCTCGCGCCATCCCCTGTGTCTTCCTTGGTTTCCCGGTGGGCTCTCCCGACTACTCCTTTTACCACCCGCCCCTCCACCAGTTTCTCGACTCTCTTGACGTCCGGTTTGACGAGTCCGTGTCCTACTACACCCGGTACCCCTGTCGAGGTCTCCCGGTTCCCCCTCCCCCCCTCTTCCTCGCACCCTCTCTCCCCCCTGCTCCCGCTCCTACGGCCCCCCCACCCCCCCCTGGTCCTGCCCCGTCAGGTGTGTCTCACGCTACCCCTCTACCCTAGGTCGCGCGTGAGGTAGCGTCTCCCTCCCCGCAGTCCTCCTCACAGTCCCCTCAGCAGCCTTCGGCACTTCCGCGACAGGTTACTGTGGACTCGGTTGGTGTTGGAGCTGGAGGTGCAGCCACTGGCGGTACTCGGTCTGGGGGTGCTCGTTCGAGGGGTGCTGGAGCTGGAGGTGCTGGCGCACGTGGCGCTAGCTCTGGGGGTGCTGGAGCTGGAGGTGTCAAGAATAGAACTAGGAATGAATGATTGAACTAGGCAAGAGGTGAGTACAAGTAGAGGAAACCTAACCCTAAAGTGTTGTACTCACTAAGGAGTGACCCTACTGTAGCCTAGAGGTACAATTGTAATCTGACACACCCCCATAGGCAAAGTAGGGGACAACAAACACAACAAGCGGTCACAAGACCAGTCTGCAGAAGAGAACACAGCTCAGGGTGGATCACAAAGTCACCACGCATTCTGAGCACAAGCAAGTGGCCACAAGGCCAGTTCACATGCAGAGGTATATAATAGCAAGGCAGTACAATGATCACAACCTAGTAAGAGAAAACATGCAGATATAAAGATATACAGCAGTGTACAACAAGAGCAAGTCAAGCAACCAACAGGTGAGGCAGAGTGGGCACAAGCCCAAGAGCAGTGCAGAAACGCTGATGATCACCAGACCCAAGGGCCTTGGTGAAGACATCAGCAGTGTTGGCCCGAGAGGCCACGTAAGCAAGGCGCAGCTGACCACGCTGCTGCAGCTCACGCGCAAGGAAGTAGCGAAGAGCAATGTGCTTCGTTCTGTGCTCCAGTCTCTGCTCGCGACACAAGGCAAGCATTGCCTTGTTGTCGACGTACAGAACTGGAGGAGAACGAGGCCGCTCCCCGAAGTCGGTCAGCAGGTAGGTCAGCCAGCGTAGCTCCTGTGCAGCCATGGCCCCAGCGTAGATCTCGGC